CTATCTATCTATCTATCTATCTATCTATCTATCTATCTATCTATCTATCTATCGTATGTACAAGAGAAATAAATATTGAATCACCTTTCTGTGGCTTTTCATCGCTGATGTTTTTATTATAATGAATTAGGTTGGAAATGTTCCATCTATCATTACAAACACAAACCTCTGCGATTCAGTTGACACTGGACCGTTCTTGTCTTTTTTCTTGCTAAATAAAACTGTCCTGCTTTCAAATCAAATGACAGTTTCATTTCCTTCTTCTAATAAAACATTGTATTATCATTTTCTATGAAAATTAGACTTTATTGATGAATATGGTGATCATGTTGAGGAAAAGAGTCGCCAAGGGGGATTGTAACCACATTAACGACATAAAATCTCTCAGATAGATTTAATAACGCTGACATTTTAACCAGTTTAAACCTATTTCGGCTCCACAGTCTCTGTCATGAGAAGCAAATGAGCGTTACATTGGTATTACTAACATATTTCATGCTCTAATTTGGGGCAAAAATCTGATCTTTCCTCTTGTGATTTTCTTTTGGGAAGTTGTTTAGTCTTAGCCACATACTGTCCACATGTTAATTCAAATCCCAACCATTCCTACAAATTCAACTCTTATAAGATCTGATAGAGGCTTTTTTAAGCTCTAGCACTAAAATGGGTCTCTGTCAAGTTAGATTTTATAAATTGTTGTAAAAGCTGTAAAAGATGCTCACAGTGAAGCTAAAAATGTAAATATTGCGGTGCTTATGGACCCCTCAGTGTTGTTAGGGAAGCTGATGAATCAGCACTGATGGTCCTGCCTTGTTGATCTGATATGCATCTGGAAGGGCCATTTGTGAATGATGGGAGTTATATCTGCACTTCATAATTTACATTGTAAAATTAGAGTTGTTTTGAGTGGCTGACAGGGCATCTGAGCTGCTCTCACACACCGTGACGCTTGTTGTCACCTTGTGAATCAGAATCAGCCAAATTAAATCAAACATCAAAACCTCTTCTGACGCATGAGATCAGCCTTAATTTTTTAATCAAAATTAAAACACTTGACTGTTTAATTCAGATCAGATTATGCTAATACTGTGATCATTTCAGTTTTAGCTAATTGAGGAAAAACTACTTTGAGTTGGAGCACTTGAACAGGCAGATCCGTGTGCACACGTGCAAACAAGTTTGATACTGTCAGGTTTTTCCAAATTCTTTTTATGGAATTATGCATGTATTTCAATGTGTGATACACCTTCCTTCCTTTGCACCACCCTGACTTTGTGAGATCAGTTGTCTTGTTGCATCTACACTCCTTTTCAGTGACAAAGTGTCAGATCTCACTATTGGTGTCACAGAAATTAAAATCATGGGTTTTTTATCCTCTGTAGAGCACAGCCATAATGTAAAGTTACAAAATTTCTTGTGTGCAAGAGAAATAAAAGACTGCCGATGTCTTCATTTTTCATACTAAATGTGTACAAATGGACTAGATATGAACATAAGCATACTTTGCAGGACTTTGTTTAATGCCACTTCTCCTGTTGGTGCTTTGAAATGGAACAATCGTGGTTTTAAAATGAAGATGTATCATCTGTAATGTCCTCAGACTCACTTGTCTTTTGGTGGTTTGCAGCACTATCAGTCGAACTTTGCTGTGCAGAAGGTATTGGCTCTTTAAAGTTTTTATTATTCCCTCCTTCTGTTTTCTTTTACTTAGGTCATCTTCTGGTAAGGTGAGCCCTGAGAGCGTTCGGTCAAAGGCATCACCATCGGACACATCTGAAGACTGTCACGATCAGCGTGGGAGGAAAACTCCTGTAAGTCCGGAGAAGAAGGAGGAAATGTCTTTATACAAAAAGACCAAACGAGCAATAACAAGCAAGAAGTACATCTCCAAGCATGAAGCCGAAGCAACAACGCCTATTGAACTCATCAGCCGAGGCCCAGATGGAAGATTCGTCATAGATCCCAACGACATAGAAATGGCTGTCAAACCCCGGCGAATCGAGGGATTCCCCTTTGTGGAGGAATCAGACCTTTATCCAGAATTCCGGCAGTCGGATGAAGAGAATGATGACCCCCGGCCTCTTCCGCCGGTCATGGCCCCCCTACGGCCCCACCAGATTTCGCCTATCTCTAGCCAGGAGTCCTACATGCAGCCTCCGGCTTACAGCCCTCGATTCCACAGACCCTTCGAAGGTATGACCATCATGGAGAGCAGTCGGCTCCAGGCCTCTGGACAGATCCGAGGCTCTCTACACCACAGGGCTTTCTATGGCTATTTAGGACATCCTGGAGATCATGATCCCCCGCCTCCCTTTTACCTGCCGGAGTCCAGTCCACTCAGCTCTGTCATGTCCTCCCCGCCATACCTTGCTGAAGGTCCTTTTGCGCACCCTATGATTCCTGAAGAAATGGGAGAGGGTGAATATCCACAGTATGCCGTCTCCAGCTTCCCACTTCCTCTGACGCTAACCCCTTCGTCTCGTTCTCCAGAGGTGTGGCAGGGACTGGATTTTACCTTTTCAAGTCTGGAGGGGCCTCAGTTCATTTTTCCACCACACCACCCTTTGCATCTTCGCCACGACCCTCCTTATCCCCCTCCACCTCATGTCCTTCCCCTCAGCGCTTTCCAGCCCTCCCCCCTTCCAATGCCCACATACCCAGCTGTCCTGCCTCTGGAAGCTCCAAAGAGCCGCTCAAGCAAGTCTCCCAGCAAGGCCAAGCCTCATGGCTCTCCAGCCAGGCATTTAGCTATGCAAGAGGCACACTTAGGGCAGCTAAGACACACAGGCCACGGTACAGGTGTGCCGGTTTTGCCTTACACCGACCCAATGGCCCACATAGTCCCTAGCACATTCAGCAGCCTGGATACACGATGGTTGGAAACCCCCCCTCGCTTTAGCCCCAGGCAGACTCGTAGGATGGATCCCAGCATGCATCAAGTGGTTCTCCAGCCCTCTCGACTCTCCCCCCTTACCCAAAGCCCGCTTGGCTCTCATGAGGGCTCCCCAGAGATTGTTGTACGGCCCAGGCCACGTCCCAGCATAGCCCAGCCTCCCTTACGCCCAGAGATGTCTGAAATTACCCTCCTCCCGCCCTCCACAGCCAGCTTTTCAAGGAGATCATCCCCCTCATCCTCACCTGCTCTTGGCCAGGGTAGCAGGAGAGCAAGCCCCAGCTACCGTTCCCACATGGCTTTTGCCACCTCTGCAACCAGCTACCCAGCTTCCCAGTCCCCATCACCTCCCATGGAAAGCAGCAACTTATTTGGGCAGATGCCATCTCAGAGGAGGACTGAGGAGGCGATCCTTCCATCTGAGCCCTCTCCACCCCAGTTGTCAGCTTCAGGGTAGGTCTGTCAGGCATGCAGAGAGGGATGCCATTTGTCTCATCTGCCCCAACCCATAATGCTTTGATGTGTAAAGGTGCTCTGACATTTTGGTTATTGAAGTTATGTCCCACGTCCATTCAATTTAAAATCATCTCTGGCTTACTAGTGGCATAGTCGTTGAACAAACTAGGCATTTTAAGCAAGCCCATCTTTTTAGGATGATTAATTTGAGCACTAGAGATAAATGACAGTTTAGTCAGTGCTGCTTTCATGTAGACATAAAGTTGGATGCTTTTACCAACTGAATCTGTGATGCATTGTTTCAGGTTGGTCACATGGAAAAATCATTTTTTTTTCCCCCAGTGAAAACACCATGATAAATTGGATTAGTGATAGCAAAATGCTCACAGAGTTCATGTCAGACCTTTACGGGCTGCAGTCCACCCAGATAAAAGACACCACAGCCAGAACAGTGTTTGACGCAAGCCCCTAAAAGCCTGGAAATTCGTAGACATCTCAAAAGGTTCCCTGTTTTTCCATGTGTATCACGCGTTACCCTGATTTTACTTAACAGGAGGAATCCCATAATATTCATCCAACAGATTCCCCAGAAATCCATCTATTGTTATGTCTAGTTCCAAGCCTTTGAAAGTGCCTTTATCATGCAGAAGGATGCTTTAAGGAGAGTTCATCTTGGCAGGTCCTGCGGCCCATCCTCAGCTTTAGCAACTTGAGTGCATGACCAAACTCCTTACCTTCCAACCTCTCCGATTTTTCCTCTCCAACTTCCTTTTCCCTTTCTGTAACCCTCATCTTCCCACACCTTTAAATGCCACCAGGTCACTCCCAGGTCTGACTACCAAGGAAAGGTTGTTGAGCAAAGTGTGTCACAGGGCCTGTCCGCTTCTCATGTACTGCAATGTCTCCATCATTATGAAATAGGGGCAGTGTGGTGGTTCTTAATGACTCCTGGAGTCTTACCTGCTTTGTTTTTGATTGATCTCAGCTATCTGGGCAGCGTTGTTGTGACCAGGTCCTCTACACCGCAATAGGTAAGGGTTGGATCCATGTCTGAAAGGGGGGGGTTAGCAGGTGGGACTTTTTTTGATCACCTCGTCCTTTAAAGGGGAATACAAGACTTTGAGTCTTTATTTAATTTGTTCCTTCCGTCAGTCAACACATGTAGTTCTTTTCAGTTCTTTCCTTTTTCCTTTTTTTTTCAAAGTGGCTATGCATTTTGAGTTCTGCAGTCTTAAGTACATTATGCATTCTGACTGATATGCATATGCCATCTGTAAGCGAACGGATCAGGTCTAAAAACTATCACCAACATGACTTCATGCTTGAGTTGTTTGCTAATTGACTGCAATCTCCTGAAAATTATTAATCCGATGTACCTCAAGTTTGATATCTGCTTTTATCAGCTCGTTAAGTGATTTTTTTACATGATTTTTCAGATCATTTGTTTTATTTAAAGAATAAATGAAACCAGAAAAAGTCAATAATAGATTTAAAGGACGTTTCGGGTACTTCTGGTCCAAAAAACTCCTTGCATGATCATTGAAGACTTTTGAACTGGAGTGTCTGCAAGATTCAGATCTTCATTTTCATTTTCGATCAATATTTGATTAACAATAAATAGCACCAAGGTAACCTTCCAGGAATTTATCCAATTTTGTTCTACTTTGCGACACTTCCATGCACAAAGCGCCCAGCCTTTTTGGAGTGTGCTCTAATTCTGGAAAGAAAAGAGGTTTTAAAGTTGACCCTTTTTTACCCTTTATATGAAGCTTCATGATATTTTTGCATATGTTATATGCTGACCCTTGTGCACACTCATCTCCGGCTAGTGGGAACCAACCTGCTGAGCTTTGGCTGTTGCTTTGCCACCAAATGCATGGTAAATGCACAGCAGCCAGACTCCTAGAACTGCATGCCAGCATAGGGTTAACGTGTTTCTCATTCTCTCTTCTTTGCCCAGTTGTCTGTTATTTTTTTTCCCCCAACTGGCTCTCTTCTCCCAGATGGAGTCACTCACCGTTTGGTTCTGTCCGATTTCTCGCTGTAAGCGGAGGAGCCGCTCAAAGCGCAGCCCTGGCCAAAGCCTCCCTGGCGGCCTCCTTTGCTCGTCTTCCCCACAGTTAAACTGAGTTGACTGCAGTCGGTCACGGCTCACCGCAGTAAAGTCCACTATTAGACGTTTCTGTCAGCTGTGAGAAAAAGAGCTGTGTCAGATGCATACAGCAGGTCAAACACAAAGAAGGATTATCAAAGAACAAAAAAGGTACAAACAGCCCCATCTCCCTCTGAAGAACTTGGCCATGACATCCTGTTTTATGTGACAGACACCCGCAGAGTCTTTGCATGCTGGGAATGTGAGTAGGAGTAAGAATAATGGCGTCACATTAAAACAAGATCCGTTTTACGAGCAAGCACACTGAAAATGACACGAGTGCATGTTGATGCTCATTGACTTCTTTGGTCACCGGTGACACACTGGGCGGATACAAATAGTGCCCCAGATTTAGATTTGAACCCTATCAGGGCGGTTGGGGTTGGTTTGGGTTTGGACTTGATGCCTGCATTGCGTTGACCGGCACCTGCCTCCCGGTTATGTTCCTGTTGTTTGGTCAGTGGACTCCCAAAACGTATGTCCTCCACCTGTCCCGAGCTGCTGTTCAGCTGGGCCGCTGACTGTCGCCTCGCCTGAAGGTGTCCTCACAGTTGTTGCTTCTCTTTCCTGCTGTACAGCTGAACAGGGCGTAATAGGAGGGTGCTGCTGGTTTGAAGGATGACACTCTTCTAAACTTTCCCTTTTGTGACAGAGTTGGGATAAAATCCTGAGAATTACAGATGTGTTACTGTCTTCATTTGGTTTTTCCTGACATAATTCTATTGGTTGGCATCACACATAGTCACATGGATATTTAAGTGCACCCTGTCAGACGGACAGCACATGACCCCATTAACCATGAGAGCTGAATTGAAGAGCACAAACACTGTGTGGAAAACTAAGTGCACCACCACTAATTTTCTAAATGGCCTCTCCAGGAACATTATGAGTCTCACACCATTCATCTGATTCTTCTTTCCCTCTTAAATTCTAAGAGAAATCTGTTTGTGCACAGCTCTCTGAAGACTCTCAGATCCTGATGCTGCAGAAGCTGCCCAGATCATCATTCCTCCCCCGCCGTGCTGACGGCTGCTCTGAGCCGTCTGTTTGGGTTCTGTGAATCTTAGCAAACATGTCAACTTTGTTCTGCTCTTTGCTCCGCAGACATAATCTTTTTCGAGAGAAGAAGCTTTTTGCTGCAGCCCAAACAAACAAACCTGACCTGCTCAGTCTTTTTCTAACTGTGACCCTTCAGATTGATGGGAAGTAACATCGCTGAATGCTGCAGAGCAGCAAACTGAGCAAACCTCTGCGCTGTACACACTTGCTGTTCGGTCAACGGGCTGCATTTGATTGGCAATCAGGCTGTACTTAGTTTTTTACACTATACCGGTTTATTTTTTCTTTGTTTTTAGTTAAATGAATAATGACAGGTGTACAAGTCATTTCTTCTCCTCTATCTCTGGTCTCACTCAAATTATTTAAGCCCTGGATGACTTTTTTTTAGTACACAAAACCCCAATAATAAAGGCAGGTTTTCTTTTCACTGACTAAAACCACATGTTATTAACTATAGAAATCTAATCTGCAGTTGTCAGTCATTATTGTAGATCAGAACATGTGAATGTGTTGCCTTACCGTCGGAAAACTGTAAAAATGCTCTTAGCATTCTCCTCAAGCGTGACACATTATGCCATTTTTACTTGACAGATGCTTCTATAACCAATTGAAAATATTCTTAAACCCATGAAATATTTTGTCAGATTGGCGGGAAATTTCGCTTCGTGCTGTGTGTCCACTTGGATCCTCTGCTCACAGCTCCCTCCTTGTCAACCAGCAGATCCCACGTCGCGTGCGCCCGGCACAGATTAAATTTTAGGGTGTTTGAAGTTCTCAGCCTTCTGGTTTCAAGAGGTCATAAAAAAAAATCCCTGCCGTCGCTGGAGTCTTGACCAACCCTTCCCACAAGCATCTCTTTATCCCAAAAAACCCATTCCCGGTGGACACATGGCCTCAATAGCCCACAGAAAGCATCTGTACAGCACGAATTAGTCCATCCGCTATGAGTATGTGAGTGTGGACAGCAGAACAGATGTCAGCTCCATGTGTACATAGTGTCCTGCCACAGCAGCTTACCTGTCTGTTTTATTCTAAGGAACAAATATTTTTGCAGAGGTGGGCACACGGGGGGGTCAGGGACCCCACTCTCAGACACTGAAGTGCCCAGTGAAGTACTTTGAATGTATTCCCCTTTAAAGTCGTGTTCCATGTGCAATCTGCCATGCATGCCATCGCTAAATATCGCTCTTCCGTTTCCAAAACAAAACAATTCTATGGAAAAATTATTGTTACATTTGTTGTCCTGGTGCTTCGCTTTTCTTTGGCTTATTTTTCATTATGTGACTGTTCCCGAGTAGTCATTTTCCCCTCCCGCCATCTCTCCCCCTGTCAGCATGGTGAAGCCCATTGTAGACAGTATCCATGTCTATGAACACATATTGATGATGCTTTGTCGCTCAGCTGTGATTCTCCCCCCTCTACTAACGACATTCGGTTTCTCTCTGCAGCCACGGTGGGAAGATGGCCTCTTTGTAATGCTAATTGTTTTCTGTGCCGCGAGAGAAACAAGTGTGTGTTTGTGGCAGAAACATGTGGGCTGCCAAGTTATATGTGCCTCCATAAACAGGAGGGAGTTCATGAGAAGCTGCGAAATGTGTACTTCTCACCAAGGAAACATTTGCATCTGTTATTTTCAGAGTGGGATAGCCTAATTTATACAGTAAATGTCAAATCTGCAAAATGATTCAATTGGACGGCCTTGAATGTACTTTATTGAGCCATGTTATTGAGCATTACTGGACGACTTTCCTCTGAAACCAACAGTGCAAAGCCTTTTTGAATGTTGTCAAGAACTTTGCTCACTTATCTAATTTGCACCATGAGGTAAATCGATGGTTTCAGGACTTGTGAAATACTTTGCTTTTCTTTGGATGTAGATCATTTGGATCAATTTGAGCAGTAGATCAATAGATGCCCTCGAAGGGCAAAGAAATTTCAAGGTGTGCAAATTTAAATGCCATTTGGATTGCAATCTTGTGAAAATTGTCACCTGACTATAGACCATGAACACGATTATGGTAAGAGTAAAGTAGTTATATTCCTCCTTAAACCTTTGAAAACACGCCCCTTTGTCGGACTGCAGACTAAAGCTGTTTTGGTGACTCACATTGATCCTTTGGCAATGTGTTGCACCTCTTGCTTAGCACGAGCAGTGCTGTTCTGGGACTGTGGGGGGTTCGTGCGCTCCGCAGTGCACAAACACAGTGCACTGACCGTGGCTGGGCTGGAGTTACCCGTCTCCCCCTCTCTTTCTCCTCTTTATCCAGAAAACGTCGAGGTGTGCCTAGTGCCCATTCGGGGTCTGAGAGGATTGATGCATTGAGATACCAACGTATTAAAAAGGCCAAGAAGATGACCATGAACAACAATAACTCCAAGACCAGGAAGAAAGCAGGTATGGCCTCGTTTGGTCTTTGAACCTTCAGCGAGCCGATCGCAGTGTGATTATGTCTCTGTGGGACTAGAAGATTTTTGTATGAAATAGTCTGATCGGATCTGTTTTGGGTCAAAAGAATCATACGAATTGTTTCAACTTCTTGTTCGTCCATTCATCTGTCGGAGATCAGACAAGATGTTTCAATGTGTATTTTATTTCGTTTCTGAAATTAACCTTTGACTCACCCTCTATTTTTAAATGAAAGGCGTTCTCTCAGTTTGATATCCACATGTAATCAGCATATCAGAAGATAAATCTTTTTTGCCATTTTTGCTTAATCGTGTTTGTGTCTGCATTAACTCCACATCTGCCTCGGCTCTAGCTGTGCATCCATGACAAATGACAGATTGTAGATTCATGATTTTACGTTTAAATCCCGTATTATGTTGGTATTTAGGGGGAATTGACACATATTGTAGCTCTAGTTAGACTGGAGTGTGCTAAACACCTTAAAAACAGCTGTCATTGGAATAATGATCGATGGAAGATTAAGGTGCATTCATCAGAAAAAGAAAGTGCACTGAAGTTTTTACACAACAGGAAATAATAAGAATCACCTGCCCATAAACAGGTCTTTGATAAGATAAGTGTAGCTTCCCCCTTTATCCATAACAGAGACCTGTGCACAAACCAGAGCTGCAGAAGAACCACAGGGAGCAGAGAGGGACAAAACTCCTTCACTAAGTTCTAGGATGTGTTTAGTTTTTCACACACTGCTTCATTTAGGATTAGCTTTTCAGAGGGTTCAAACCGAGCAGAAGACCTCTCATGGCCTTTGTGACCGTTGTCCCCTGCTCCAGGTGTGTCCACCTCTCAGACCCAGCAGGCCTACACCTCTCAGGTACTCCAGCCCGAAGAAGCTCTCTACCTCCGCAAGAAGAAGAAACGGCCCATTCTCGTCGACCCGTACACCCGCTTTTCTGCTCTGCTCTACCGCCGCCCACCTCGAGAGGACCAGAAGGCCATTTTAGCTAGTATGGACACCATGGACCCAGACCATGCCACCCTCCTCTGAAAGCCTCTGGGGAGGAGTGATCCACCCCCCCTCCCCCATTCCAGCTACGACTGGCTACGTAGCTAAACTCCCCAGTTTGAAAGAAAAAAAAAACCGTACCGTCAATTTAATATCTTTGATGTTAACTATCTCCAAGCAGAGATTACACTCTGTTTTAATTTGGTAGAATTCAGAATTTCCAGACTCTGTAGCTACATCTTTGAGCAGTTTGATTTGCATTAGTAAGCAGTCTGCTGTTTTCACGTGATAGCACCGATTACCACAAATGTTCTACAGAAAGAGTTGATATCAGAGTCCCCTTTTTTTTTTACTGGTCTCTACTTGATTTGAATGGAAAAAGTAGTAAAGGCTGATTGGATTGACATCCCAAATTGGAGTTGTAGCTCTTAGGTTTTTCCTAAGGCACAAGCACGTTCCATATTTTTTAAAATACAGTTAGTAGTCACTTTATACTTTTAGCGAATCCAATCAGAAACGACAGCTGCCAGAATTTCCCAAAGTTTTACTCCAGTGCAAAAATCACAATTTCACACAAAGATGCAGGACTTGACTTCCAGGCCCCCGTTTAAAAAAAAGATCTGTTTTCCTGCCCCAGTCTGATGTATTCTACAGGCTTACATGATGTTTCCTCATATCTGCCGCACCCCAAATGCCCTTCCTCACTCAGTAAAAATCCCTCTGGGTCTCCGTTTACAGCAGCCTCCACCGGATCCTCTCCACTTCTTATCTGCCCAGTAACTCGCCTCACATATATGGGTGTTCTTACTTCCCATCCAGTATACCTCAGAGCACAGGACACGATACCACACAACCACAACGATCAGCCATCGGAGCAGTGTCTCTTTTCCATAGTGATGACTGTACTTTTTGCTTTCGTCTCTGTTGATCTAAAATTGCCCTTCCTTGCTTTTTTTCCCTCAGCGCATGAAGAATTAAGTTCTGTTACAAGGTGAGCTGATTGTTAGCGTTAATCTTTCCCTCATGTGCTCGTCTTTTCTGCTCTGTGGTTCATGATTTGGAGGCGGATGCTTTTTCCGGAGCGTCTGGGAAACAAAAACGACCTCTGACTGCTATACTCGCCAAAAGTTTGACCTCACTACAGCTGCGTGCACTCCAAACCGGGGGTTCAGACGCAGAAACGTTGCATTTCTTCACTGTCAGGCTGAAATAAGCTGATAAGTTTGCACTGGAGCAAAATCTTGACCATTGTCTTTCAGATCCTTTGCTTTTAATGCTCTCTTCTGCTTTAGGTAATGTAGAGGGCTCCGAATCCTATTCAGAAACTCATGCCAAAAATGATTCTATTCACAAAAAGCTCATAGTGGAGGATAGGATTTTGTGCCATTGCATAAAATAGTAATCTATTGATCAAAAAGCTCTTTTTGTTTTGTTTGGCCTTAATCTGCTTCACTTGTGTCAAAGTTTTTACTTCTTTTGGATTTTTTATGTCTATCTATGCGTGCATGTGTGCGTGTGTGTGTGTGTGTGTGTGAGTACCTGCCTCTTTTGGGCTGGTTTCAGTTTCAATCGGCCTGATTTAAAATGAGGATGCTGAGCGTGTGTCAGAGGCAGTGCAAAGTGAGCCGGCAGCGTTTGGTGCACTTGTTTTACATGTCCCCGCTGTTTCATGAGGAAAGGACGTGCCATAACTCTGTATCGCTGCTGTTCAGCAGTCGGCAGCTGTGTGTCTCCTCAGCTCCAGCTTTTGTCTCTTCGGTTAACCTCAAAAAGGTGCTCGGCTTCCCCTTTGAAGGCGTGACGGTAACATTTGCTGTGAAAAAAGCTTGTGGTGTGGACGTCTGGTTGGGTGTGCGATTATTTCTGATTTTGAGCTGCTACTCGGACGCAGGATCCTGAAATCAGCAACGATTTCCCCGACTGAATCTGCAATGATTTCCCCCACTGAATCTGGCTGCTGCCTTGTAGCATTTCCACAATACATGCTGAAAACTGTCAGGATTTCTCATTTCCAGAAGAAGCACACTCCCTTCTTTTCTGATTTCACACAACTGCGAACATAACTGTAACAATCCATCAGCAAATGGGAAAAACAATCAGAATCTATACTCTATTTACAGTTATTTCCAACATCCTGGAAAATGGCTTGTTTAAAACAAAAAACAGTCATTCACACTCTGATGTGAGTGTCTTTTTCAAAGAGGGAATTCTGTGTCCTGCTCTGCATTTATTGTGGAAATGACTTCGAAATACAGTTATAAAAGTTTATAAAAATTCATATCTGTAAGTAAAGTGAAGCTACAATCTCTCCACAACCTCCAAAGACAGCGTGAGTTATTACAGTGAGAATGAGGCGTCATCAGCTCAGCTGAAGGTGGATAGATCCGCCGTAAAAGCAGTGGTGTTCCATCAGCTGCTGAGGTGTTTGAAGGGCTGGATCAAACGTCCTTCACCTCCTTTGAGGCGGCTGATGTGACGGTGCCGGGACCCTCTCAGTGATGCAGCCATCCTATCACAGGTGCTTTTGCAGTGGTGTCAAACAGAGGCTCCTCAGGCAGCCTACGGTGCTAAGCAAACCATGAGCTCATGCTGAGTGGTCCCTCTATAAATCAGTACAAAACGCCACTTCCATTTTCATACAGTAACTGTATTTTTGTATTTTTTTAATGAAAAAAAAGCAACAGAAATGGGCTGTTGGAGTGTCGTCTGGGTTCAAAATCACAGAGAGAAACGAGGAACTCTTCTTCCACCAAGCCTCTGTAGGGCTCTGCAGCGGGGACCTGCGTGAGCCCAATGAGTCGTTTTCACCACACTGCTGCTAATTTTCATTGTTTTTAGGCCACAAAATATTCAGTAGGGAGAAGAAGAGTGCCACTGTTTCCTTCCATCAAAGTGTTTTGCTTTGTTGAATGCTTTGGAGCGGACGTTGTGTTTTCTGGTGAGAGCTCTTTTGGTGGGTGGAGCTGCTGTGAGTTGGCAGGAAAGTCATTTATAGGGCTACAGAGACGAAAAAATGAATATCACTTTCTCATTAGGACCCAAATGAACAAGTTTCTCAATGTTTTGACCGTTTGAGACACTTGTCTTTCTTAAAATGAATTAAATCAATTTTAGTCCTAAGTTTTAGTCCTAAAACTTCACTTTTAAGAATCAAATAGAAGATAAGGGATTTATATGTCTCATGTTTGACTGTTAATTAACTTGTGGAATTTTCTGTCCAAACCAAACAAAGAGCAGATTGAACAGATAGTTTTATTTGACTGAAACTAATTCATGAACAAGCAAATATAACATAAATTTCCCCAAAAATGTCCAATAATTTGCTTTTGCGATTTGATCTTAAGAACCAATATTTTATTCATGAGAGGAAAGAAAACTCTGAGAGACTTTGCCTCTCTTTATTTTTGCAGTCATGTCACCGACCTGTTACCAGTTAGGGTAATTAGTTGTAACATGCTCCTAAATTGGTTTATTCTTCCAGAAATACTTTGTGACCTGTTGCTGCCGCCAGATTAAAAAACAGCTCATTTATTTAATAATTTGGTTAAGTGGGTTCAGATCATTTCAGCAGAGTTTTTCCATGAAACGTCTCCAAAACATGTGCACGCAGCTCCACATCTCATGGAAAACACTTTCACATTTGTCACACGAGTGATCTCTGAGTAAAACACGGCTGTAACCCAGCAGAGGCAACCACCAGCATTGGCCTGCTGTGCTGTTTCTGGGTGAAACCCAAAGATCCAAACACTACAGATTACAGGCAGCGATGGAAGCAGCGCTCTGTGCGCCCAGGTGTCATCAGTTAGGGTTTCAAGTACTGCGTGGTGAGGGATGCGATTCCCACTGAGTGACCGAAAACATCAGCACTGCCATAGCAAACACTCAGCTGCCGTTCTGTGTTGGAAACCTGTGGCGGAAGCTTATTGTTTCAAAGCAGAATCCATCGAAAAAAACATGGCTGTGGCTGTAAAACGCTGTTTTTCCAGTTTGCACTGGCACATGCAATGGCATTCACAGCTGTATTCTTATTCCAGCTTACAATGCACAATCTGTAGAAATGTGAACCTGCTATTACTTCTGACGCAGTAGGACTGAGGTCAGAGGAGGCCGTGCGGCTAATTGGCTGGATTTTAAACTTCAGAGTTTTGTCAGATTAAAGAAACGTAGATTAACTGCAGCTGTGACGTGTTAGGAGTACCTAGAGAAGGAAAAGACATTAGGACACACCGAACAAATGTATAAATAAATGGTCAATTAAATGTGTTGTCACAAAAGTGTGACACAAAAATAAAAAAACTGAATAAAATATCCTTATATTGACTTTATTTACACAGAAAAAGTTTGGACACATCACTCAAAATCAAGGGTGATTTTATGTGTCCATATTTATAGTTTATGTCTGTACATTAATAACAATGGTTGGGGCGGCGGGGGTGGGGGGTCAGGAGTTGAAAAAAGCAAGTCTGATGATCTTTAAAGTTTTAGTTGTGAAATCTTAATCAATCTGCCCCCAGGTGCGTCTGGTTTTGAGGCAAACGACTCTCAGCCGATGCTAGTCTAAGGAGAGGAGTTTTTCCCCCTCAGACAGCTCTAAGGAAGGCCTCTGTGCTGTCGCTTGATTCTTGACAGCTATTCTGTTCCATCCCACTCTAGGATGTGCTGTAGTTTGAGCCAGTGTGCTAAAAGAGAGGACCTCTCTGGTGCTAGCTGTAGTTTGAAAAGTTTAGCATAAAAAAGAGAAAAAAAAGTTTAAAAAGTAGTTTTGGTTGTTGCTTTTCTACACAATTGGATCCTTCTTAGAGGTAAAATGCACCTCAAATGAAAAGTTAATTTGTTGTTCATTAAATTTGAGCCCTGTTCTGAAATGGTTCCAATAGAGGTCAGTCCTATAATGGAAAGATCCAATCATCATCATGATGAGCGGCAGACTCTGAAACAATCTCTTAAACGGGTTCTCGTCTACGGGAAACGACGATGACAACGGTCGGGTTGGGATCCATCTTTTACTGGGAGGCCAGCAGTGGACGCTGCCGGGCGGAGGCCTCCGTCCAAACTAACCCTGACCGCTGGGCCTGTGCACATTAAAGGAAACACTGCTGCCATTAGCTGCCAGCGCGCCACAGCAGCCCCCATCAGAGTGTTGAGAATGTATCAAAATGTATCACAGAAATTCAAAGAATTAAAAAAAAAAACAGGAGAATGTGTAAATATACATAACTATATGCTGTCTGTATATGTATACATGGACATATAGATATATAGACAGTATACAAACAGTATATATTTTGTAGAGGAAAATATGATGCACATCAGTTGTATAAAAGACTGAATGAGAACTGAGTAGTGTATGTTCTACTTCAGTAATGTAATATGATGTAACTGACACTATGTGAGTGATGGATAACTTTTGAAATGCTAGAAATTAGTGAGAATTTAATATAATAGACACCATACATACATGCATTTATATATATATATGTATATATATATACATACATACATACATATATATATATATATACATATATATCACAACCAAAATGGTTCTGAGTATCTATGAGCATCTATATTTGGGGAAAGTCCTTGTTTTGAAGAATGTATAAGTCTATATTCTATTATTTTTATATCCATTTGTTGCTTTATACTGTAGCAATGCAGAATTGTACACAAAGTAGAGAAATATGACATCTGTCTGAGCTGTTGTATACAAAACAAAAGAGATTGGTGCACCAAACTGTACTGTTTATGTCTATTACACAGAGACTCAGAGAAGGAGACAGTAAATTAAGTTTTTATTAGTGTGAATAGCAAATGTACTTGTGGGCCATCATCATATTACACTGCTTGTATGTTTTTAAAGGGGCAGCATCATTATTCTTCCTCTTATTCTTCCTTTTTTCAACAAACATATATAAATGTATAAATATATTCTTTGGCATGAAAAGATAGTGATTTTTCCCCCTTTTCTGTGGTGCTCTCTTGCAATTAGAGCAATGAAATCTTAATGTGTGCTCATCAAATCCACAAACTGTGCATTTTTCCAACGCCGGACAGCATACGTTCCTGTTTGTGCAGCAGCGGGCGCGGCCCCCCACGATGCTGCCTTCAGCTGAGAGCGGGGGGATCCACATGTCTGGCGGTGGATGGGAAACGGGAGCGGGAGCCTTTCGCTCTGCAGCGGAGCGGCCGCTGCTACAGCTCTCGCCCCACCGCCAGTTCAGTGCTGTACATTGCCAAAACAGACAAAAACACCAACATCGTTTCCATTCTGACAACTGGTGCTATTTAAGAAAAACATGTGTGGTGCTTTTTGAGTTGTTTCCTTGCTTCAGACGAGATGTAGCTACACACTCCTGTACTGTACTGTGGGTTGCTTCTGGGCCTGTCCATGGAGTCAGAGGGCTTTCTTTGTCTGCCGTTGTTTCGGGGAATCCACAGATTGACTCAGCATTTCGGTGTGGCAAATTTTATAGCAAGGACATTGAACCAACATTGATTTGAACATCCGTACATGTATCCTTGTTTTTCTCGAAATTGACTTTAACTCTTTTTGTCAGAGCTTGTCTGTCAACCCTCCAGCTGGTTGCGAGTAACTGACTTTTGATCTCCATCTTAGACAATTTGATCCATCTGAAGGCTCTCCTTCACATCAGAGGACTCATTTTCCCCCGCAGGGGCCATATTTTAATCATTAGTGGATCGGTTTGGTTGATCTGCAGCTAGATGAAGCCGCTGGTAGTGTTGCTCTGTAGGAAGGCCAGAGAAAGCATCAGACATTGCCTCATAATTAAATAGTCTTTTTTTTGTTACTGCCTTTATCACATGAAGAGATTAACGAGACGCTGGTTCCCTTTGCTTTGTCTTTCGCCACGACATGCAATACAAACGGAAGAAGAACAAATGGAACTGAGAGTCTGTTAATGTCGCGTCTTCCTGGGATGAGTGGAACCGATTTTGGGTGAGAAACAACACCAGTAGGAGGTGGTTCTTTGGTTCTTTGGTAGTGACAGGCGTAGACAACTCTGTACCTCAACAGATCGCTTCATGGAAATCTTAAGTCCACATGTGTAACCTAATACATTTTCTAAATGTTTTTCACCCCTGAGAAGTCAGTGCTCATGATGCTTTTTACATTTGTTTGCACAAACACTAGAAAGAATGTATGGCTATTGTAACCCCCCCAACCCCAACACTTCTATCTAAATTGAAGCTTTTCAAGCAACTAAATTGAACTGTCAGTTTTTTGTATCTCAAATGTCTTGGTATGCTTGTTGTAGTTCAATATTCAGAATGGTGTATATTACATCAGTTTTTATTTATTAAAATGTTTAAATTTTCTAACACGGCTGTTGGTTTTATTCAGCGGTTTTCTTCACGATTTGATGCGTCCTTGGACAAAGTCACGACTGAGCAATGGTTAATTTGCTCTAGCAAGTGAGGTATGTACAAAAACTTCTGCTTTTTCAGACTATTTCCTCCTGTCCCTGAAGTATCGTGGAAGTGGGATGTCAAAACAGAAATTTAAAAAATATATATCAATCGATTTTTTGCCCACATCTAAAGATGAATATTATACAGACTGGATATTCATTAATACATTGATTTGTGGATTGAAGTTCATTTGAGATATAAGAACCAGCAAAATGCAATGGATCCCCCCTCAGATTTTGTGGGCTTGGGACTTAATTGCATTTCTAATTTATGTATATGCATCATTCAATGCTTCAGAAACCAAAGCCATGTGAAACGTGCAGTGTGATTATAAAGCCACCGGGACATTATAATCACACTGCACGTTTTACATTTATTCTCCACTAGATGGCACAATAGAGCAAAAAATGAAGCACCTTGAATCTTCGGCTTATGAGTCGACCAGAGGGATGGAGCGCTTCAGTGCTTTCTGAAGCTTCATCTCGCCATCACTTCTTTGAGACAGGCACATGCTACTGGCAGGATCCAGCAGTAGCCCCTCTGCGGGGGTCTCCAGCACCCGCCCCGCCACGCACACACCTGCACGAGCTGTCAGGACAACATAAGCACTGTTAACGGCTTCATCATGGCATTCATCATCATCAATTTTCAAATTGAAAATGGGGATTATTTGTATCCCAGAATCCTAAGAAATCTTTTTAGTTGAAAGAAAGGTGGAAGATGCAGCAGTCAAAAAATAATTTTTTATAATATTGATTTTAACTTAATGTTTGGAAGGGTTTTAGTTCCGTTATTGTATAAAAATAATATAGATGGAAAAAAGACTGCCTCTTATCTAGAAAATACATCAAGTTCCGCCCAAAACGTAAGACCACAGCCTCTCAAATGTTTCCACAATCTGCCAAAGCGTGATCTCATTTCTTCTCATTCTGCTCACAAATGCATAACAGGTAACCTTGAATAGCAGCTGCTATTCTGAATAAACATTCACAGCAGATGCAACGAGAACTGGATGGTTTCCTGACGTTTAGCTCAACAAACTGCTTCACTTTGTCTGAAAAATGTAGCTTTTTTTTTTTACCTTATCACCAAAAGTTGACAATTTCCTGATGCCTTCATTAAAATTCTCTGGTGTGTTTTCGGTCAGTTTCAACATTCCACATTTCCCCAGTCCACTCTTCTCTCTCTGAGAATAATACTATACTGTGAGTCATATTAAAATTAATTGAAATACAAACTCTGATAATGTGTCCACACTTTATTCCTTGTAGAAACACAACCTGATCATATCCATGTACAGATATACATTCTTACATGAATACGATGAGCTGTGAATTTTCTTTGGCATAATGACTGCTCTTCTCAGTCAGGTATGTGCATCTGCCCAGAAAGCAAGTCACTTGGTTTGTTGTCAGGGGTTACGTGATGATCTGCTCATTTTCTCTCTATACTTGATTATGACTAAATAGCGATGCAGTTAGAGGGCACTGCCTAAGACTGCCTTGTTTGTTATGTTTACAGTAGGTGTAGATTGAATTAAACGCAGCATGTGGCCTAGTTGTGAATGTTTTTTTACTTAGTGAGCCTACTTAAATGAGCCTGAGGTTTTTGTTAACAGCAAAGCAACAAACAGGAAAAAGCATTTGAAATTCCCTGAGTGAACATTTATATATGGGTGTAACACAAAGTGCCATGGTTGTCATTTTTCTGACTAATATATTTTCCGTGTTCTGGGGAAAAATGCCTTTTTGTCCATAATGTGCTCCCTTTGAATGTTTGTCCACGTGGCTCCAATGACTCATGTAGAGGTATTAGCTCTGCAGGCTGGCTGGTGACGGTCTGGCACCATCCCCCTGTCCCTCTTCCTCAGCAGAGTCCTCAGAGCTGTTAACCACTGCAGCGCCGAGTGCACTCAGCTCCTCCAAAACCCCCAGCAGCCTCTCTGAGAAGATGCACACCCATGTCTCGTCAGAGCCGTTACATGTGGATGAATGTTTGAAATGTAGGAATGCAAAACAAACATTTCTAAAAGGGGGCTGACAAGAACTGAGACGTTTATTACCACCTGGAGGTAAATGCCCCTCTCCTTCCGTAGAGCTCATCCTCAGTGAGGTTTTTTGTTGATTTCCAGGATCAGCAGTGTTTTGTGGAGCTATCGGTCCCGTTTCTGTTCCCGAAACCTGGAACAGACTTCCATAAGCACAGAGAAACAAATGTTTCCACAAATCATTTGAAAATTTCTTACAGGAAGAAAGCTTTCCTCCTTCTCTGTCTTCTTTGGTTGTTTTTTCAAGACTCTGTGCTTGGCATTTTCACTCTCCAAATGCTGAGCCTGTGTCATTTCTTCTCGTTTCCTCGCTTCTCTCTGAAACTGCCGCAAAGTCATAACTGCAACAGACGATGCAGACGGGCCGTGAGCCACAGGGACGTGGCGGTTATGTCATGCTGCTGTATACTGTCTACACAAATCCAGTGGTATTAAATCGCAGTCTGCATTAAAGACGTGACTTCATTCCGCATGTCAAGCGGGGGCCTGAGGCAGCGCGCCGCTGATCCCAATACCTGCTTTGGTGTGCTCTCTCCGGGAAGTATTGACCTGAACCTCCATCTCTCTCAGTTTCTCAGCACATCGGTCTTCAATTTCAGACACTCTCTCTTGCAGAGCTTAAAGAGAGGAAGAAATACACTTGAAAGGTTAGATTGTATTTCAAAATGTGCATGAAATACTGCACCACACCAAGAAGGTCAGAGGAATGTACTTCTTTGGGTTTGTTTCTTTAAATCTCAGTAATGCTTCCCTTTTTTTGACATTTCCCTTTCCTGTGTGATTGATGTTCTCCTCTGTTAGTAACCTGTAGGTGTGTGCATCTGTGTGTGCGTGACTGCTGTGGATGTGGGATCACTAACTAAAGCCAGCACACCTGCCTGCTTCCCCTCCACTCATCAGCTCAGCAAATCTTCATCTACTCATCTCCAAATAGCTTTTTTTGTGATTGTGGATCCCCACGTCTGGCTGTCAATCAGTCACCCTCGAACACCTGCTCCACTGGATTCCCACTGTGACCCAGTTGGCCTGCTGCAAGCTTCCCAAACCATCATCTTCATTTCCTGAACTCAATTAATGTCTTCTTATTCTTTCTATTCTCACACTGTGATGATTCTGTTACCTGCAACGTTGAGGAGAGGGTCTCACCAAGAACAAAGAGGGTTCTTGAAAACTTACCATTTAGAGTAAATTAAATCAAGCATTTTTAGCATGTCTGCATCATTCAAGAGATGTAAAAAAATAAAATAATAATTTTAGAATCTTTGCATAACAAGAGATGAAGTTTAGATTATTTAGCGGAGAACAGGCCAGGCTGTCACTTTAAAAAAGGTAGGAAGTATAAAGAATCTAGAAAGAGCTACATCTAGGGAGCACAATCTTAATAAAAGGTGCTATTTGGCAAACAAGGTAGCTCCTTGGTGCTCCGTAGACGATATACTTTTGTTCTCAACAGTCACGAAAATAGGGGAGAAAAAGATAAGATCGGTTAAACTAAAAGCTCATAAAAAACATGTCCCACTGCTTTTATGAGTGCAGGATTTAATGGTCTAATTCCTATTTTATTCTGGCCGTTCGATGCACCGGCAGATCCAACCTTCAGCACGTTTAGTAGAGACAAAGGCAACAAACCTGTGCAGCAGGAACGAGAGGAATAATGACGACAAGCAAACCCTGTTTTATGTCACACTTAGGGACCTGACTATTATCTTTTATACTCCAATTCAGTTTTAAGACCTTTTTTTAACCAAACAGAATTCTTTAACTAATTTGGGCTAAACAGCGATACTCAGTAAATCTCACTGAACAATAACAGTCAGATACTGGACACATAAAGATACGGATCGAAGGGGATTCCATTTAAAAGAATGTCCTCGGGACCAGTCTACAAAAGGCTGCAGTTCAGCTGAGGACAGCCGGTCTCACCCTGCTCACTGAGCTCCTGCTGACGGAGCAGTTCACAGCGGAGCTTCTCTAGGCTGCCGGTGCTCTCCTCCAGCTGGGCCCTGACCTGCTGCAGGTTCTCCTCAGCCCTCTCCTGACCGGCTGCAGCCAGCTGGACCTCCACGTAGCACTGCTCCATCTCCTGCCGCTGCTGCCTCACTTTGCTCTCATCTATGGGTGACATGTAGGACGGGGAGTCAAACGTTTGCCGAGCAATAATTCATAGAAGACAGTCAGACTGTCTGTTAGTTGTGACCTGGGAAGGACCTCACATTGTGTTTTCAGCTCAGCCAGAGCTTTTTCGATGAGCTCTGGGGTTCTTTTGAGCTCCTGGGTGAGCCTGTTTCTTTCTTCACACACCAAACTGTGCTCCGTCTGTAGGTTGGCGATGCTGTAGGACAACACAGACAGAAGGCAGACAGGAGGAGACACACTGAGAGCCGTCACTGTATTTCCTTATACAAAAAAGAAGAACCAGAAACTGACTTTAGACAGGACCAGCCCTAAAGTGTAAGAGTCTCGAGCAGCCATAATTTATTTAAATAAGCATACAGAAGGCACATAACTAAAGGGATGCAAAAGGTAATAGTTTAATAAACGTTAACTAGCATATTCACTCTTACAAGCTGATTCCCAAAGCATTTTGTGCAGTCTGTCCTTGAAATGGAATGATGAACAGACTTTGAAAGTGATGAAACCCGGGGAAAACCCACCAAAGGCCTGACACAGGATTTGAGAGATTGTCTGACCTTCAGTTGATCCATCTACCGTCTACTGAAGCCTCATTAGAAATCAGCTTCCATTTGGAAGGGTTGCTATCAACAAGAGGGCTTTCCCAAAGACGTTAGAGAAGGACTACGGATTACATGCTGAGGTATGCCAAATGACAAGAAAGGAAGAGTGGAAATCAGTAACAACAGGTCTCACGAAGTGATCAATCCTCCCACAGCCCGTACCTCAGCATTACTGAACGAGTGTGGGATCGCCTTTACAGAGGACAGCATAAAAAGCCACCACCATTCAAAGAATAGCTTTGGGATGCCCTTCAAGCCTGCAGAACTACTCCTCAAGACTACTTAAAGAAATTAAAAGAATTCTTCTCTGAAGGTTCAGACTGTGGTGAAGAGTAAAGGTGGCCAAACCGAATTTTTGATTTTCACACCGGTTTGCAGTGAACTCTGATTTGCCTGATACATTCAATTTCCAGATACACATTTACATAAATTCATGCGCCGATTCCCCAACACATGAAGAAATTAGGGGTGGATCAACATTTTTTTAAATGACTGTTTAATCCCATCATACTGCAAATGGTTGTCAAACTGTTATAGATGCTTAAAATCATCCCCATTTCATCAGTACCTGCCATTATCCAGTTCTGTCTGTTTACAGGCCAGTTCAATTTTCTGCAGAGCTGCCCTCCTCATAACCAAACCTGGAAAAACAAAAAAAACAATAACACACATTCCTCAAAAGCTCTACTGCCTGCATCCCAAACTGAATTATCGCTATAAAAGTTAATCTAGACTGTGCCCTTACCTTGGATTGTGTCCACTCTCCTTTTAGCAAAAGAAAGCCTCTGTAAAGAGGTGCTTAACCTTGCTTTGGCTGCATCCACTTCCATCAGCTTACTTTCGAATGCCTGACTGAATCTGGAAAGCAAAGGCAAAGCATCATCTCTGATTGATTACTACCCCAAAAAACATAGATATTCTAATAAAATTATCTTACTTTTGCAAAGCTTCTGTTAGGATTCTAATATCAGACTCGAGTTTTTTGCTCTGTGACTTCAACTCAGCATGTTGTTTCTTAATGTTGTCCAAGTTCTGTTTCAATGTCTGGAAAGAAAAACAGACATCTGTTTAACAGAGCATCTAACACACACACACACACACTGGTTTTATCATGTGAAGCTCAGAGTTTAAAACATTTTAATGTTCTTTAAATATTTTGCCGTTTCCATCCAGTCCGCACCGCATGCCGTATGCACCTTTACTACTTCCTGAGTAGACCCAAGTTTAATGCGCATCATCAGAATTTGTCTCAGCTGCTAACCTCCTTTTCCACTCTTTCCAGGTCCAGCTCGGCTATCCTGTCATGCAGGCTGTGTTGGAGCACGCTGGCCTGGTGCTGCTCCTGCTGGAGCTGCTGCTCCATGGATCTCACCTGGGTTACACAGCAGCACAGTTTCAAACGCATTCTATTTGCTGATACACTGCTCTTACGAGAGTGTGTCCATACCTCTGACAGAAGCTTTGTCTTCTCTGCCCTAATCTCGATGTCCTTTGAGCGGAGCTGGACACACAACTTGAACACTTTCTCTCTCCACAACTGAAGCACTTGAATGCCCTTAGATTCCTTCCTCACAAGTGGATCATTGGGAGTCTGTTGAATTACATAAAAACAGAAACATCATAAGCAGATGCTGAGTGTTGAGAATTAATATTTTTCCTACATTAATCAAATTAACTGAAAATGAAAACCGTAAAAGATTCTGCATGCCAAAATAACAGATTAAATGTTTTCAAAAATAATTGTAGGAATGTATTTAACCTTAACCATAATGTTCAAGTAGCTATTCTCTATGGTACATTTGTGTAAAATTCTTCAAGGTACAATGGAGGTTGCCCAAAGAATCTTACAATTACATTCCCATTTTGATAACAGAAAGATTGCCCACAGGTCAGGAACCTTTGATGATTAAAGTTCCATAGCTCCTATGTTTCTATTACTGGTCTGAGAGATTAAGTGAAGTACCAGAGAGGAATTTCACACCTGGAAATGGCCTTGATTAGGAGGTGGATCTCTTGACAGCTACATTACTTGCAGGGTGTAGCTTTAAGCATCCAAAATTCATGACAAGTCACAAAGTCTCAACCTTTAATTTCAGGTAGTTTCTTAAAAAGAGGCAATTATGGGTCCGAAAATACTATTCCTTTTATATTATAAAAACCTTTAGCCTATAGAGTTTGTGAGCATTTCTCTTCAACCGGAAAATGGCTAAAACTCAAAAGATATAATATATCTTTATCTATGGTGTCCTATTTTTCATTTTTAATGTTTTCTACGTGCTACTTTAAACTAAACTATTTGCTAAACTATATGCTACATCTCATTCTTATTTACATCAGGTCAGCCAGACCAGTCACAATGGCTAAACCATCAGCAGAGAAACATGGCTCAGCCACCACATTCAGAAACACTGGCCAAGTGTATCCTTTCACATAATGATTCTCCTCGAAAGAACTAAACTAAATGTCTGAATCTCTACTACACTATGTGGGTTGCAGTGAAGTGTTGGATGGTTTGTTTTACCAACGCATCATTTAAAGATTTCCCAGACTGATATGTCTGTGCTTTAAATGCTGCCTGCACTTTTTGTGTATAATATGTTTCATCATCAGGCTTTAAAGTTCTGACACGTCGTTGTCTTTCATTTTGCGGCCCATCATCATCTTTGCTATGTGGTAATCTTATTATTACACACAATTGCATCACTCTACCTAAAAGCTGCCTTCATATAAACAGCAAAAATGTCCATTGCTGGCACTTTATAAGAAACTGACATTTGAGAGTGCCTTTCTATGATAAGAAATTACCTATATATTGTTTACAAAGTACTTTTTGTTTGTTGTGTTTGGGACTTTGCTTCATATGAAAAGATACACATATTTTGTTTCTTGTGATGACAAATTACATACACAAGCACACATGACTGAATGCTTTTTCTACTCTGGCAGTGTCTATTTTGCATTCTTCACGACCGCAAACTGGGAGAGCAGCTCTGGTGATGCAGTGCACTGTGGGTGGGGCCCAGAGTCTAAATGAACCCATTTTGCAGACAGGAATCCGAGAGAAAACATTAATCTATTTCAGGGGTTCTCTTTGCATTACAGAATAAATGTTTACAACTTCAAGTTAAGTTAATACTATTATAATTACGAATGGAAAGCTTTGCCAAGAATTTCCCAAACCAGGCAAAATGTAAACAATGGACACTCTCACAGTTATTCTGTATAAGCACATTTTTCATAACAAAGCACCTCAGATGAAGTATTCAGCCAACTAAATTATTTAAGCTTTGTCATCTTGTCTGACATTGTTCTGTTTAAGGGTCAAAACCTGTTTACTGCAATAAAAAAAGGATCAGTTTAGTGGTTTCTTCTGAACCTTTTTCCACAAATTTCCAGGATTCTTCAAAGAGTCACAGTAGGTTGGTCTACAAAGAATCTAGGTAGCTGAAAGCATGTGACCTGTGTGCATTTTGCCCTGTTAAGGAACAACACTCACCCCCTTCAATATTTTCTCCTCTTGGAGGGCGAGTATCTCATTTGCAGAGTGAAGCCTGACTGTTAAAAGTTCTGTGGTCGTCTGAAGGGCTGATTTCTCTTTCCTCAGCCTCTACAAGATGGACAAAATAGAAAATATGGTGATATTTAGGTATTGTTTCTTCTACTTTCAGACTTGTGGGAAAAAAGGAAATAAATTAAAGCCCTGTGCAATGATTTCACAGTGGGTTCATTTGTTCAGTCAAGTTTTTATTGTCTCTACCTCAACAGCCTCATTTAATCGTTCCTTCTCTCCTTTCTCCGGGGCGAGCTGGCCAATGTAAATTCTGAGGCTATGCAGCGTTGTAGATTGTGTCTCAAAGGCTTTTCCCATTTGACTGAAAAATAAACCACATGACTGGAAATTAGATTTTGTATATATTTTAACTCATATAAGTATAAGTATAAAAATTATACAAGTTGTATAAACAATTTATCATAAAATCTGTTCATCTGACTACAAAGTGCTTTAAATGCTTGTCTTAAAGCCATTTTGGATAGAATATGGCACCTTAGATGTTCTCTCAGGCCATCTCTCTCATTAGACACTTCCATCAGGGTACTTTTCAGTTGCTGCACTTCTGAGGCCATAAACTGAAGCTTGTCCTGTAGTTCACTGTTTGTATTTCTTGCTGCATCCAACTCGAGACAATGTGATAAATTTAGCTGCTGCAGCTGAAAGTGAGAGAGGCAAATAAGGATTATTTAGGGACCAGAGAAATAATGAGATCAGGCCTTATTGATCCACAGGGGAACGTCTCACTTTCTTGGCTTTACCATCAAAAGGAAGCTCACCATAATCTATACATAAAATATTGCATGATGAATTATATTTACTTGTGTACCTGCATCTCCTCTTTCTTCTTCATTTCCTCAAGTTGTTTCAACAGCCGGAGAACCTGCTGTTTGGACTCCTCTTCAGCCTGTAACCTGCTCATTTCAGCCTTAAGGGCAAGCTCCCTAGATTCCTCTTTAGTCCTATCCATCTCTCTCTTCAGTCTTATTATTTCCTCAGCAGACTCTGCTTTCACATTTTCAAGCTGTAACAGACAGAAAGATTAAGCTTGAAACAATATTTTCAAAACAAAGCTTATAACCAAATGACTGTTACAATAAAAAATGACTAAAAACGGTTAGGAAAACAGCGGCATTGAGTAAAAGCACTAGATTTACAAACCGTCAAAGGTAGCTGCATTATGTAAGAAACTCTCAGGTGATCCTTGTCTAAACTAGTATGAGAATAAAAAGTATTTTCTGTAAACATCATTACCTGTGTGCTTATTTTCTCCTTCAGTGCACTGCTGAGGCTGAGCTCCTCTCTGATTTGGTTGAGTTCAGTCTTAGCCTTTGACAGCTCATTGTGCATCATTTCCATCTCATGGCTGTGTCTGTAGCACAAAAGTGACCCCAAGTTAAGTCCATTCAAGTAATTGTTTACCTTCCGTGTTAAACCTTTAAATTATTTGACTAATAAAAACATCAGCAAATCTAGTACCTGCTCAGCGTTATGTCTCTGTCTCTCATTTCCTCCCTGTACCTCTCGGCAGTCTCCTTCAGGGCTTCAACCTGCCCTCTCAATCGGTCAGCCTCAGCCTTGTGCTTCTCTACCTCCAGCCGGAAATCTGACTCCTGTCTGGACCACTGCTCTCTGTTTTCTGTGGATCTACATTTAAGGAAGATGATAACTTAATATTTCCGTCATACAATTTCTGTATTTTTACTCAAAGAAAATATCTGTTGGATATACCTCATCCTAAGGTCTGTAAAGTGATCTACTGTAGTGTTTCTGCCTTGTAACATCATGATCCTCTGATTTTCCTTCTTCAGCTCCAGGATTTCCTGCTGAGCCCGAGCGATGGCCAGCCATGGTTTGGCAGGGCTGGGATCTCCTGATGATGCCGATGTGAGCACTGGATTCATCCAGGAGATGGGTGGAGGTGGCACTGGGGTTTGAACGACACCATGTGCTCCTTTAGATTGGACACTTGATGCAAAATGCGACGGAGGCACAAGGTCCCCTTTAACTTTACCTAAGTAACAAGACATAATGTTAGTGTATGGGCATGAATAAACATCCTCCCTGATAGGGAACCTTTGTTTATATGGAATTACCTTAAGCCTACAGAGGTAAACTTTGCTGATAATTAGCTACGACAAGAGCTGATAAAAAGTCTGTTTATGCAGGTCAGCGCGTGTGGTTAGCTTAAGCAAACGCTGACTAAATAAAACTAGATAAAACTATTTTCAAGTATGTCTGACAACACGCATTTTCTTTACAGGGAGAAACTTACTTGAAAGTCCCGTTGACGTCAGGAAATCAGTGGGTACTACAAGTCTTTCCTTTCCCAAATTTTGTTTCTCCATTTTACTGATTTTTACCGTGCACCGTCTTTCGAAGTGTATTCTCCCGCGAGTCCCGTCACCTGCAGTTACCTTAGTTACAGCTTGTAATGGCGCTTCCTGGGCTGCTTTAGCAGTTCCAGCAAACGTTAGCTAACGTCAACACCACTCAGAAATTTAAGTAAAAGCGCACAAGCAACCCCACTGGTGTATAATTGATAACTTTCATAAGATAAGTGCAAAAGTAACTGGGATATTACTGCTACTAAACACCGCGATGCATCACGGGAAATTAAGGGGAAGCGATCCAAAATAACTGTTGGGATCACTTCACCCAAATTGTTGTCTTGCAGGTTTTTGTCCTTTTTTACGTCTAGCATTTTAACGTCAGACACACCACTGCATTGCCAGTATTTGTAGAGCACTGTAGAGCAGCAATTAATTAAGATCAATCGAGACCTGCTCACAGCCTGGGTTTTCAGCTTTCTTACCAGACATATGTGGGGTTATAAACATTGACATCTCGAGAGAAAAGGGTTAGAATTTTGTCTAACGACAAGAAAGAAGTGTGAAACATTGTATTGGTTACCAAATCTTTCAGCTACTAAAGTTGCACACTGAAAGGACAGGCACTATAAAAAATGACTGCGGAGTTGCATTAATGCATACTGTACTATTAAATATAGGCTACATGAAGTCTGTTTGAAGGCAACTCTGAAGATATGAGCCCCCTGACTGTGCACGAGTCTATTGAGAATCATTCTTTATTTTTCTCAGGCTTTCAAAGATTTTACTGTACACCAATATTAGTTTAAAATGGGGTCAGATTTTATTCAATCTAATGATGTGATAATCTGGTACTCTATCACTTCTCATTGACACCCTCAGTTCAAAGCACTCACGAGTGTATGTGTGTCCTGACTATTTCTAGAATAACACTGATCTGTCAGATAGAGTTGCACTGAGCAGGATGTGTAGTGATAGTATTCGATACGCTTTCTATCTCAGGAGTTGGAAAGTTAAACACTGAGGATGCTTGGAGAGCAAACCTCAGTTTTGAAAATGAACATTATAATTTGGATCTAAACAAGGCATTCAGGAATATTCTGTGGGATAAATTCAATGCACCTGCATAATTTTATCTATCTAGCTATTTGATACGATTAATGCCCTGGTGTTTCATTTTTCTCTGGCATCTTCAGCAGCCATTTCTGTTTGCACTCACCTGCACTATATTTTGTTCTCTTATGCTGCCATGACCCACTTTCCCTTGGGGGTTCATTAAAGTTTAATCTAATCTAATCTATTTATGGTGTATTCAGTGAACAAGAAGGCATTTGGTTTGAGTCATTTACATAACAGATCAAATATGGATTCAAGGTGACGGAAAGATTAAATTGACAGTGGAAATTAATACATTGTTAACTCAGCAAATCTTTAAAAAATATTACGGTATACAACGAGAAAAAATTAATAGTGTCATGCATTTGCTGGTGGTCTGTAAGAAAGCAGTGAAGTGGTTGTTTAATGAGCACAGTGGGAGTGCTATGCATGGTATGTATTCATTACATTCTTTTGATGAACCTTTCTGCACATAGCACTCTGCAGTAGGTTCTTGAGAGCAAGGCACAGGAAAATATGGATTTGAAGCGGCCAAAAGATATCCAGAGTAAATAAAAAAATTGTTACCCTCATGTAGGAGATTAGAAATAGGCAGCAGCTCTGGTTCTTTTGACAGCATGTAAGTACCTGTAAGATTGTCCACAGGGTTGTGCTGAACACGACTGAAAGCTAAAGACAGCACCTTGAAAAAGGCGGACATTAGGAATTATCAACAAAATGTTAATTATAGCGAACTGGTGTGCACTATCAAATAAACCAAGACACATTATGAGGATAATGTAAACATTAAGCGTTCGACAATAACTTGGGTTCGGTTGATACAGTGCCAGAACAAGAAACATCTAACATCAAAATAAATACACGTAGAATACTTTGTCTGTGATGGGGGTGGATTGCTTGTGAAAAAGAATGCTGCACGAGCTGTTCTAAATAACAGACAACACTTTACACTCTCTCCCTACTATACTGATTTAACAACAATCCATGCTCAGCCTGTCTGGGTTAATAGTCAGTAGCATTGTGTTGCATTTCCCGCTCAGTGTCTTCTGTCTGGTCCTGTGACTGCTGGATGTGCCAACTGGTGCACCTTGATTCCCTAATAACCAGCAACTGTGGCTCATCTGTGGGGACATAGGTTTCCACCCTCTGTCATCACTTCGTTGTACATCTTCATGTGGTAGCGTGGACTTTTGGAAGACACGTGGTTTGCTACTGTTTATGGCAGGTGTTTTTTATGACTAATCTAAGTTTTACCATTTTGCTTTCTGAAGAATGAGTCAGGGGTTAGTGCTCTCAATCTGCACCTCCCATTACGTGCCCCTCTGCATGCCCCCGCCACTGCCTCTGCCACACCTGTTGACTAAATTATTTCCAAAGGAAGGTAGTCATACTGTGCACTTCCAACCACTGGACAGCACAGAAATCTATTTGGAATTTCATTTGCTTGGATTATTCAAGCTTGGCTGACTCAACTCTTCCGTTTAAGATACTTTATAATGTTCATTTAAGATTCACAGATCAACACAAGCCTCTGCTGCCGCAACCTTACTTCTTGCGTAAATATACCACATAATTCTACCCTGCAGACTTCTTTTGATTCTTTCTGGATCATACTTACCTAACTGAGACTCTGAGACAGCTTAAGGTTTCTTCAGTAAAGACCAGAGCAAGATATTATTTCTGCCCGCTGCAATCTTTGTGCAAGCACTTGGTAAGCTGCTGAAGTTAGTATTTTTTACTGAAAGTACAAGAAAACGAATTTTTTGGGTAAAAAACAAAAAACTAAATTATAGATATGAAAATCAAATTTCCATATTTTTTCGTTAGAATTTTTTAAGGTATTTTAAGTCATCCACAATTCATTACTTAGGTTTAGATATTTCTAACATTATATAAATTCTATACACCCTCATTCAAAGTCAGGTGGGCAGAATCTATTCAAACTTCTTATTAGGCATGGTTTCGGTTCTTATCAAGCATGTTAGCAGTCCTTCACAGGGCCATAAAGAGACCGTTGAGCACAATCATCCACACCTATTCCTACAGTTAATTTAGTCGCGATTCAACCAGACATCCACGTTTCTGCACAGAGACCCCACACATTACACAGGAGAACCTGCTAGCTCGGCACAGAAAGGCCACAGCCTGGGCTCATATCAGGAACCCTCTCTTTGTAAGATGAGAATATTAACCCCAACACCACCATGCTACTATCACTATACACTGCTACATTCAAAGTTTTTTTATTTGATACTCGTTTGTTTTTTAGATCACTGTTATATATCTCTTGTGCAAATAAAACCATGGCATCGAAAATTGGCTATTGTATGTAGTGTCTCGCCTTCATTGTGCTCGAAGTTTGCCCCAGGGTGTCCTCTGAGTAGGATGTGCCTGCAAGGCATCCTTAACAAATGTCCAAACAGTCTCAGCTAATTCTTGGGATTTGTACTCCTGTCACCTTTGTCTCACTGTTCAGCTCCTCAGGGAGTCTAAAAAAGTCCCACAAAGAAGCTTATAGTGGCACATACAGGCCTGCAAATCGTTACAAATATTTCTTTAAGAGCACCTGCAAAAATGTTTGTGCTCACATGAGAGATTCATCAATTTCAGAGCTTGTTTTATTATGCCAACAGACCAAATTAAACATCCATTAGAGTCAATTTAGTAGTAAATATATATCAGCTGTTAAAGAGATTGATTATTATCATTTGCAATGCAAAAACTGACAGTTTGAGTCAAGAATATGAGTGAAAGTCTGTTTTTAAAATTATTGGATGTCTTCAAACTTGTTATTGGTTCAGCGCACTTTTCATCAGGAGAAAAAGCTGCCACTTTTTCTTTTAGTCTCACCAAAGGAAACTGGAGGTCTAATCACACCCTTGGCCACGGAAGCTGCTTTTTCTTTTTCCCCAATCAAGCTGATTCAGCCTACACAGGGTTTGTGTGGAAACTGCATGACAGCAAATATCAGGACTGGAAATTGTGTCTTTAATTAAATTGTCTCCAAACGCAAATGAATTTGGGCTCCTTCATGTGACAGGACAATGTACACAGAAATGTAAAATTGAAACAGATAACAAGAAAATCTTAGATAACGTAGCAGGTTCCCAGCTGTGGGAAACACATGACTAACTTGCTGACAATAATCCTCACACATTAGCTAAAGTAGCCAGCAAAATGACCCGTGACCCGAACGCCAGAGGTCCACAATCAACAAATCCAATGAATATATCAAAGAAAGCTTCAACCACCATGAACACCAACAGAGAGCAAATGTGAACCATTCTGGCTTTGTGTTAAAAGCTTTCCACAGTAACTAAGCTTGAAAGAAACATAGTCGGGCAGCATCTCTCACAAGAACTTTAAAAAGAATCACCCTCTCAGTTGTGCATCACAGCCATAGCCAGTGGGCATTATTAAAAAAAGAAGATGTGGGGAAAATGTCTGCTCTCAAGCATGTCTGGTTTCTCAAAGGCAGCAGATAGCAAAGACGGTGCAAATGTCTTTGTGACCCTCTTAGTCATTTCCCAAGTTTATTCTGACAATACATAAACAGAAATAAGTCTAAACAAGTGCAAATGGTATACTGAAGGGATTCTTTTCTCCCTCTTCATAAAGGAAAACTTTTAACTTTTCTCTTCTGGCGTGTTCTCTTTCCTGACATGTCTGGTAATCTTTTCTCTCAGCAGAGATGTTATTTCTCAGTATTTCACTGTTTCTGGTTTGTCACCACAGAGATCATCAGGCTACCGCTTTCTTTCATTTCAAAGGTTTTTCTAATAATCGGAGTAGGCTCAGCTTTCCAAAAACTGTTCAAGTTTACACCGCCAACAGCTAAACTTACACAGCTTGGCTTGTGCTTTTCCATGTGTTTTTGACATTCTGTTCTGAAAATGAGCACAATTTTTTCTCCTTCCAGGCCCGCAAACCTCTCCAATAAGCTCACTTCTGCATGCGGTCAGTTGCAGATAGGCTGTGCCCCTTAGCAATAGATGTCAGCCCTGGAGCGCTGTCCTGGGGTAGGGCGCTTAGTTAATGCTCTCTAAATTGGGAATCGGTCCGTTTTGGATGGCGATTTTAATGCTCTGGCGTATCCCAGTGGTTGCCTAGTAACGCGCTGGCAGTGGGCGCCGTAGAGAGATCTGTATGGTGGGCGCTCCATTAAAACCGTTGGCGCTCCTGACCTTGGCGTCGTGAATGCGCAAAGCACACAGACTGTGCGAAGCAAGCAGATAAGAGCGAAGATCTGTGCGTTAGATACCGAAAGCGGAGAAATATTCCACTCACATCCCTTTGTCCTATAGCGTGACAGACGGGCATGGTATGGAGGAAATCTCGGGATGGAGCGCGTTTCAGCTTCTGTAAAAGCAGGTGAGTTAACCTAATGATTGTGATTTTTTTTTTTCCTTCCCGGGACGAACCTATGTCCCGCTTGATAACTGATATTCGGCTTAATTGTCACTCCTAAAATTATTGCTCAGTAATATATCAGGCTACGGTTGATATTTTTTTTTGTTTCGACATTTTTTCCCCCATTGTAGCTTATCCTCCGTCCTAGACCTAGATTAAACAAGCTTCCCAGTCACAACGTGAGGCAGCGCACACACTACAGCAGTTTGCGATGCTACGTGGGCTGTGGCTTGGTTTTCTCCGTGGGTCTGGATCCTTGCATTAATTTGTGAAGCAGTGATCATTATGCCGAGTGCTTCCTACGGGCTCTCTTGGAGATATGTCTTAATTCCGGTCTCATTTCACTGTTAAACTGGGGAAGTATTTGGTAGATCCCCTTCATGCACGCCAGACGAATTACAAGGGCATTTGGAGCCCTGTTCTGTAGTCTGAAATACAAGGCTCCTTCTCAGTTGCTTTCATGTCAAGGGCCCCCCGGCTACATACCTAATCGATGAGATGTTGTCCCACAGATTTTTATTAGCAGCGAATTGATGCTGAATTGTGTGCCTGTCAATGCTGTAGGTGTAGAGATAGTATTGGTAGGAGTGAAACATGATTACAGCAATCATTCTAAAAGCTCTGTGACTGGGATCAAGTCAGCCAAATGGGAATTAAAGTATTTTTGGTCAGAACAGCTTGGAGTTCTAGATATTCTCACCAAAATCACCACTGTGGTGTTTAAATACCTGCTGCTGCCAAACGATATGCTGAACCTAAATGTATAGGTGTAAAACATTAAGATGTTTGGATATATCTGTGGCTGAGTTCTGGGCACGTTGCCAGCCGGAATTGCCCAATAACTTACAGCGTATCAAACTTGAGTGATGGTTCACTTTTATGACAAGACCCATTTGGTCCATAGGCTGTAAAGCTTTTATCCACATCTGTCCCATCTCAGATGAGAAGAAGCAGGAAAAGGAAGCATCCCGCTGCTTTAACCATCAGCAGGGATGGCAGTACAATAGTAAACGTATTTCACATTAGATATTGACAAAAGAAACCACATTATCTTCTCTCTGCCAATTAAATTACAGATCTGATTTGACGTCAATCTTAGAAATACACTAGTATGGACTGAAATGAGTACCAAGCATGTGTAATTTAAAAGGAAATGCCATTCATTTTAAGAATTCATGTTATCCCTTTGATCTACAGTAGCCTTGGCTACGTGTTTCTCTTCCTTCCTTCCTTGCCTTTTCTTTTTTTAAATTGTTTTCGGTTCAATCTTTCTCAGTCTCAGATAACTAAGAATGACTCACAATGAATCCTGATAATTGCATGACTGATAGCAATTTCATCACAGGTTTAGTTAAGGAAAAGACATGATACACCAGCATCCGATATCAAAAGATTTATTGTCACTTTGGAAACAAAGGACCTGCCCTTATCTACAAAGAATTAAAATCATGTTTCCTATCATTTCCATGTTAATTTCTTGAGAGCTGTACATCATTGTCATTGAACAGATTTGTGATAGAACAAGTCTTGTCCCTTTTTGGCCATAGGGAACATTCATAGCTGTTAATTAACACAGACATCCCTGCCCTGGACCAGACAAGTCCAATATTTCTCGCATGAATGTTTTTGATTGTGTAAGAATGGAATTTATCTGATCTCACTGCTTGGAAATAGGCAAACTGTAATGGAGTTCTTTTTAGCTGATATACCACACCTGTGAAGGAGACTGCACTATCTTTTTCTTTGTGTGTGTATGTGTGTGTGTGTTTAGATGTGTTTAGCCAGTGAAAAGAAAATGTTGTAAAGACAGAGAAAAGCCAAAAGCATCACATCTACTGTTAATTGGTTCGTGGTATTTGGCAGAGGGAATTCTTCCTTTGTCTTCATAAATAGGGTCAGCAAGTTAAAAATGGAGCTATGTTGCTGCAGTCTGACAAAGTTCCGAACCCTGCCCATCAATACGTTGGATTAGGTTCCCAAGCTTGTTTTGCTTTTCTCATTGATAAACCAGTTGGATGACCAGATGCAATTTGGTTTTTGCATAAAACAGCATGGACTGTTCTCCATGCTTCAGCTTCCATTGAACTTACAGATTGTAAGTGTGATGCAGTAGCTGAGTATTGTCCTCTTTACTGTGCTGCAATAACGAGTTTTTATGCTATCGTTGCATGGTACTTAATCTGATGACTGTACTTGGTTTGTGAATCAGATTATCTGCGTGACCATATCCAAATAAAGCAAACATTTCACTCGGTGTGGAATCAGCAGGGTTTAATTTATGCTGTGTGTCAGTTTTGCTCAATTGCAGTCAAACAGCATTTCTAAATATTGCAAACATTGTGGTGTTTCTAAATTTGACATGATTTTATGCAAAGATAAAGACAACCTTTCACAATTTCTTGTTTCATAATGTTATGATTTTTTTAGCTGAAATAAGGAATAATTACAGCAAAGCTGTAAAAACCAAACAAAGAAGGATCTTTTGTGAACATACTTGGCACAGAATGACTGTTGCTACCTTTGAGTGCTTTTCAGTCTTACAGTAAGCCTGGAATAACTCTGTAAAAGCTGTATGTAGAGGCTTTGGTGCTCGTGAGGTCCCACCAGACACGTTTATTCTGGGAATGTGCAACACCTCCAGTATGCATCTTCATGTCAGCAACTGACAGCATTGCTTAGACATCCTGAGAGACAATGAAAAGATGCAAATAGCCATTTCATGAAACAAAGTTTTTTAAACCAAACACTTAATGATAATCAGGTCAGAGACTCTTATTAACAGGAAATGTAATGTTGTTAATCAGACATTTATTATTCCTAATTTTTTGTTTACTTTTTGCCAGCACTAATCAATAAAAGAGATAGTTTAAGATGTGCGACCAACAGGTTTTTAATATTATCCCATCACTGTTATGTAAAAGTCTGAATTTGACTATTTTCAAACAACAAAGCGTGCAAAGCATGTGTCTTTCAACAGTTTGAGATACTGGAAACACATTTGACAGTTTTCTTCCTGATGTTCATTTTGTGTTTAAAAAAAAGATGAAAATACAGTTCAAGTTGAATTTAAAGATTTGCAAATGATTCAAATCCTTTGGTTCCTTTTAAAGCACAAAGACCGCCTGTCAGCATAAATGTTGAAACTGAGAAATCCATGTGTTTTTAAATATACATGCTCATTTTGAATTTGATATCAGCACTGGGGTTTAGTACAGTTCTGAAGCACATGGTTATCACTGTGTTGCAACGCTTCTTCTTTTAGGAACTCTCCAAGGGCCTTGGGACTGAGGAAATCAATTGCTGGAGCAGTGAAAGTAAAAATATTTACTGTTATTGCTTGATATATGATTTCAGCTACTCAGCAGCCCAGGGCCTCAACGGCCGGGGGCATTCTTCACCTCCTTTACTTTTTTTTTGCTAATATTTTTCACTGGTCACCAGGCTTCAACTACGGTTATGAAACCTTTCCAAAAAGATTTGTAGGGTGTAGTGCATTTTTGTAAATAAAAACAGGATGCAGGACATTTGACTATTTGATGAAAAACATTTATACACCAGGGCTTTATGGCATCTAGTTTTATAACTAGTAGCAAAAGAAACACTGTTGGAGACACATTTAGCAGCTCGGACAACAGGTCAGAAACATGATTGTGCACAAAGAGAGCGTCTTTCAGAGGCACTGTCTCTCAGAAGTAAATAGTAAAGAGACCAACCAATGTGATGTTTGTAGATATCATAATGACAATGACTTGGAACATTACATCATCAGCTCTGCATTAAACCTGACATGTTTCAGTCATGGAAATCACTGCATGGGCTCAGGAACACTTCCAATAATCCATGTCTGTAGTCACTGGTCACTGTGCCATCTGCAAATAAAGCAGGTTTAAGCTCTATCATACCAAGAAGAAGCCATACATCAACATGATCTGGAAACACCTCCATTTGCCAAAATTGACCGGGGCAAAGTGGAAAACTGTGATCAGATGAGGTTGAATTTACAAATATTTTTTTAAGGATGATAAACACTGAATATTCTATAATGAAGTGAAGAAGCAGTATATTCTAAGGTTATTTTTGGAGGCCACATTTTCTGGGAGGCACTGAGTGCCAGTGCATTTTACTTCCATTAAGGCGGCTTGATAAGGCATTGCATATGTCAGCAAGACAATGTCTAATAACATTCTGCATCTTTGACATCAAATATCTCTTTTATACAAGAGTCTTAAGTGCTGAACTGACCTATCCCCCACCCACCACCCACCCCCCCACCCCGTTAGTGCGCAACACAGACTAAGATAAGGAAACCCAGAGATGTTGAGGAGCGAGAGTCCTATATCAGGCAAGAAAAAGACATCATTCCTTTCCCAGATGTCCAGCTGTTGGTCCCCTCAGTTTCAAGACTTTATCAGACCGTCGTTAATTTTTCATGAAACAGTAAAATGTCTCTGTTTTAATATTTGATGTCTTCTGTTTTATAATAAATATATAATTGCTTTATTATCTTTATTTAATTACATTTTCCACATCATTTTCCACATTTTTGGAACTAAACCTGTACGATGCACATAGTGGGGTTTAGCATTATGCCTCTGAAATAAACTAGGCGTTATCTGAGAAGATTTCATGAGATGTTCATAACTGCCACACACTGCTCAGCGTTAATGATGCCTTATGATGAGATGTGCATGAGCACCAGTGCATCCCATATGCTAGCCTTTGTATAGTGCAATAACGATGAGTCTGTCCCCTTTTTAGCATGAAGGAAAAGCAATTCCAGAGTTTGATTTGCAAAGGGACCAGTCAGTTGTCTTAAGAGTTTGTCTTTGAGGAGCTTGTGCCAAGGGAATGCAACAGGCTTCCAGGATCTTGCTTATTTATGTCCTCTTCTTTAACTCCTCAAGTCAAAGCACAATTATTTTTGATACAGCGACAAACTAAACTTATTTACAGTTTTCTGAAGTTTTCCAGAGCCCATTTTGGAATCATGGTACAGGATTTGGAAATCAATTAGCATTGGTTTTTGGCTACAACATACAATTTCTTTTCTTATTATGTATCCCTTAATGTTATAATGTCCCGTATAATGGATGAAAAAATCCACAACTTCTTTCCAAATTTCCTGACAAATGTTATTCTTAAACTGTTTTACCAACAGTTTTGAAGCAAATTTTTTGAAGCAAAAAATTTTAAAATGTGCAACAATGTTTACAATTTGTGATTTTCATTTGGAATTTTGTAGTTATATTTGTCTACCGTCTGACTTATGTTTTCTGACAAGTAAATCTTCTGTTTCCCCTCCTCACTGTTTTTTCAGATTCGTATGCACTGCAATGCAAAGAGTGAGTGACGGCGGCCCATACCTGATTTTGGAGTATCTGGATTTGATAACTGTTGGATCTAAATGCACAGTGAGTGTCTGTTTGTTTGACAGGGTCAGTGCAAAAGGGCTAAACAGACACTAGAGTGTGCATTTGTATAGTGCAAGGGCACTGTCTTGTCCAGACCATGTGGCTGGCTACGTTCAGAGGCCATCTGTTGCCTGCACACCTGCTACATCAGCAAGGGATTGCAACCGTCACCCACTGTGCTCTTCTTTGGTGGATAATATGTTCCTGCTGGTCGCTAACCAAAGCAACAAGCCAGAAATTCTACCCGACTGTCACAACCCAGTTTGGAAAACTACGAGGGCTCCGGGTTCCTGTGCCCAGTGAGGTCCTCAGGCCGGTTGATCAGTATCTCGGGGTCCCTTACGCCGCCCCGCCTGTGGGTGAGAAGCGTTTCATGCCCCCCGATCAGCCCTCCTCTTGGTCAGGCATCAAGAATGCTACCCACTTCATGCCTGTGTGCCCTCAGAATATCCACAACACAGTGCCGGAGATCATGATGCCCATATGGTTCACATATAACCTGGACACAGTAGCCACATACATCCAGGATCAGAGCGAGGACTGTTTGTATTTAAACATCTACACTCCGACAGAAGATGGTGAGTTGATGTTGTAAAACAGAAAGAAGTTAATCTCCATGTTCATTGCTCACTGTCATTGCTGCCCTCATTGTTCTGTGATGATCAAGAACTGTCTGTGATCTATGCTTTTCTCACTGCACCCACCAAAGGCTGATCCACCATCCAAAACAATGTTATAATCTCCTGCTATGCAACCAACACTGATAAAGAGAAATCTATTTATTAGCTGCTGATGCAGCTGAATTAATCTTTGTATAGTTTCACACAGAGCAGCATAAGCAAACAAGAGGTATGTGTTTGTCTTCCCGCTAGCAGACATCCAATAAATTATTGCTGATATTTCATGTTGTTGAAATATAAGGTCTATTAAAACAAAGCAGTCATTTTCTGCTTTTGAAGTGGTAAGCACAGCATGTTTCTGTCACGGCATCAAAGGTAATCGTAAAGATTACTTTGAAGAAAGCTAGCAATGCCAGATTTCCATTCTTTGGCCAATTTTTTTATTTATTTATATTTTTATAACACTGAATCACTGCTTTGTTCAGACTGTGTATCTATTGGGGGCCAATTAGTGAGGCACAGGAGTCAGCTGTCTATTGCATGCTGAATCCTTTCCTATTTTTGAACTGTGAAATGAACCAGCGAGGGAACGATTTGAGTGTCTGCAGTGATTCTGTAGATTAGCAGAATCTAGCTCCACAGATGACTAACAGATTTCCCTAATTCCTATTACTTCAAAACTTCTAATTAAACATGTTCTCTGAGAGTGTATCGCTTCCGTCACAAGCATTCAGTAAAATTCAAAACATCCATCGCTCAGTGTTGAACGGCGTTCTGCTGGCGTATGTAACACACCGCTCTCTGAGGATGTTTTTTCTACTGTGGTAGCATAGCAACAACAGATAAACAGCCTGCATGAGAGGTGGCTGTCCAAAATGGTGCAGCCCACATTTTATTAAGCCCTTAGGCCGAGTGCTGCCTGTGGCCTCCTACCATGGCACATAAACAGGTTAATGACATTTTACATTTGCTAATTGCGAAGACATTAACATTACCTTTTGGTTGAATACATTTTTATTTTCTAAGACTTTGTTCATTAAAAATGCACTGCAGGCATTTAGTGTGTCTCAACTATTCTGTTCACTGATGTTGAGTTGTTCTCATTGTCACTATTCACTAGCACTCTTTTAGCTAATTAAAGAATATGTTACTTAAATCTACACTATTTTGACTTTTTTTTGGTTTCCTCAGAAGTCATTAATAATTCTTTCATGAAATAACTAATCTCAGTTTTTCTAATTGAAGAATTAACATGAAAGTTTCAGACAAAGTTTAACCATGAAAGATGGATTACACCTATAACAGTTATGTGCATGTGCGTGGACATAGAGATGAACGTCTTTCTTAATATCCTCAAAAGAAATCACCTTTTAGTTTATTTACTTATTTAAGGCACATTTGTGTTTAATATTGTATTTGTCATTTCAAAGTAAGATATTTGTCAGAAAAATTCTATCATTTTCATCTAACTTTAATAATCAGTTTAGGGAGTAGATATGTTTCTCTTTTCTCCAAAGTCTTAATCTAGAGAATCTAGTAGTGATCAAGAAGCACTATCCAAACAATCATGCTTTTTTGAATTTTGTACTTCTTTTTTCCTATATGCAAATCCCAGGGAGCCAACACAAGAAAAAGGGGGCGGCTTTCTCAAATGCTGAGACTCATATATCAGAAGGTATATTTTTCAAGAGCTCAAATTCTTGATGCATGGATTCTTCTGGAAATGTTACAGACTTATTTTTTATTTATCAAGGACCAAAGAGGTTCTTTCAGTTTGAGGGGAATTAGAGAAACGTTATCTCCTGATTAATGATCATATAAATATGATGTTACTCATGTCCTGGATGGAACACTTTTCCAGTCATTTTAGTAAGTGCTATATCTCCGTTTAAATGTTCACTGATCCAGGAATTTCAATATCTACTTAGCTCTTTTAAAGTTTCTTTAAAAGAAAAAACACAGTCATTAGTCAATATAGTTCATTTGCCCAAAACCACAAGAAGTACCATTTTACTGTTACTATTCTGTGTCTGTATTCTGCTAACAGATGGTAAGAATTCGATATTCTGTGGTATTTTTCAGATCAAACCAACACCGAACAGGTCCAAAGTATTTTTTTCTCGCTTACACTGAGTGGTACAAGTTCTGATTTCTCAATTGGGTCAAAGTCAAATCCATAGAATTTTCATTTAATCCAGAGAATTTAAGATATGGTGCAAAATACAAATTTACTTTGTCTAACTTCCATGCACCATGAAAGCAGTGTATTCACGATTCTTAGATTGTATTTTCATGCATTTCCTGCTCATTGCAGCTTTAAAATCACAGGCTTACCTTGCTTCTAAACACATTTTCTATGCTGTCTTCTCTCATCTCTCATACTGAGCAGATGGAATATAACATTTTTGTAACATTTAATCATTGATTATTCTTTTAATAACAGTTTTATTAGCTCAGTATATTTGTGTGTTTGTGTATTGATATTGCAGATATAAGGGACTCTGAAGCTCGACCTGTGATGGTTTACATCCACGGAGGTTCATATATGGAAGGCACTGGCAACATGATGGATGGCAGCATTTTGGCCAGCTATGGGAACGTCGTTGTGGTCACACTCAATTACAGAATTGGAATATTAGGTGATGGCTCAGTCCACGGTGCTTTAAAGAGGGTTTTAAAGGTTTTCATTTTCAACACTTTTGCTGTTGAAAGGAATAAAGAGATGAGAAGAAAAAATGTGTATAAAAAAAAATGAGCAAAGTGAGATTTCAGTGTAAATGTATTGCTTTATGTGATCCAATACAAATTCTTATCAAGCCTTGGGAAAACATTTCCCATGTACCAAATACATCCTCCTTTAGATGAATTTATCTAATTTGCACATTACCAGCATTTGCTATTGTTAAAGTAAAGTTATTTAGGCTTCACAGAAGACTGCAGTGTGTTTTTTTTTGTTTACTCTGTTTAGCATTCAAAACAGTAGCTTGTGTTCAGATGAGACTAGATAGGGGATATAATAGGATTAACTGAAAGAGCATCAATACCCTCACTGTGTTTTTGAGCAATCCTTTATAAGAAATGTATTTTGTGCACATTAAATGTGATAATGTCTCTAAGATGAGCATTCAGGGTTGATGAGTAGATCTCTGATTGCTTCCTGGGGGGTAGCACAGCTTGGGGACTATTCCAAGTAGTTGGCTAAAGTAGTATAACACACTGGGAGAGAGCAAAGGCATATTTACACCTGAGGGGGAATGATGATGGTTCATTCAGAAGCCCTGCTGTGCTGCAGCTTATGATCAAAGCTAGGCCATGTTCTGTAGAGCTTAACTTTAGCTCTGGCTCTGTTGTCTCTCTGTCCACAAAAGGCTTCCTCAGTACAGGTGACCAGGCAGCCAAAGGAAACTATGGCCTCCTGGATCAGATTCAAGCACTCCGTTGGATAAGTAAAAACATTGGTTACTTTGGTGGGGACCCAGGTCGCATCACAGTCTTTGGATCAGGGATCGGTGCATCCTGCGTCAGTCTGCTAACACTTTCCCACCACTCAGAGGGTAAGAACAAATACTGCTGCTGGCTCAGTGTGTAATGCAAATGTGATATACACTATGTGTGAACCTGTGATGTAAGATTCCAATTTCCCAAATAGATCTTTTCAAACTTGTTTTTCTTTTTAATCATTGCAAAATTTTGTCCATTGTTTCAAGTGTACCATAGTGTCTGGCAAGGAGATGAAGTGTTATGATATGAGCATAGGGTAAAAGGGGTACTTGTTAAGTAAGTGATTGCTTTTGTTCCTCTACTCAATCTAATCAGACTAAAAGCTCTGTCTCTTAAAATGGGAAGCTCTTATAGGACTCCACTGGCATTATAAAGTTCTCAGCATGTTATCAGGTGTATCTGTGATTTTTACCATTCAAATTGATTTATATTTCAGGGCCTCTGCATCAGATTTGTAATTTTCTGATCTACAAGATCCAAGATGAAAAAATCTAATTGATTTTGATGTGTTGGTCCAGTAATTCGAAGTAACACATTGTTGTCCACTGGGCGTTAGCATTTGTTAATGCATTTTTAATGAATTTTCAAGTCAGATTCAATTTGATTAAGATACCTGGACAATTCACATGCAGGACCCACAGCTGCCAGGGGTTCAAACTGCCTGCATGGCAGGTAATATTAAAACATGGTACAAAACACTGAAAAAAGACTCTTTCTAAGGCTGTAGTATATATTTCAGTATGGGTGACGAACTGGGAATTGAACCTCTTTTATTTCCTTTACTGTTCTGCTGGTTCTCCCATTGATACCGGACAAAATCACAAGAGGGGCAGAAATTGTGTCTTTATCTATGCCTCGGAGGCAGCACTAGCTGTGCTTTGTAAGCTTTGAATTGGATGTCCTCACTCAAACGCACAAAGACCTCCAGCTGTCTTTGAAGTGGGATAGCCAGCTACTGCTCCACAATATTTAAATAAAAGTCAGTAAAGAAGGGAGAAAGGGATACAGTCAATTAATATTGCTCGAGCTAGAGTTGTATCAGAGCCCCGAAAATGGCAAATTTTTAAACTGGTGTAAATCTCATCTCATATTTAGATAGCAAAGACAAAATCTCAGAGGAGATGCACTGCAAGTAAATAACTCAAAAGAGCAGCTTGTTTACTGTACCAACATTGAAGGCTTGGGGTTTGCTGCATATTCAGCCCTCTGCACACACCCTGCAACGTATAGTTGACATCAGCAGTCTGTGTAAACCACACAGCTTGTTAGACACCCCATATTAAGGATTCCTCAATTACAGTGGGTTTGTGCAAAACTGACGGCAAAAGATGTAGATGTGTCTTCACTGAAGCAGTACAGCAAATTGACCGTTAGTTTGACATGCCCTCACTGTGATTTGCATCGGGAAGACACCAAAACAAATAGAAGGGGGCCTAAGTTCATTCCCTTTACCCATTGCATATTGAGAAGCTTCTTATCAGATCTGGTTTTATTGCTCTTTGTGTCACATTTATCCACCAGACCAGTAATCAGGCATCACATGTGACCTTGCTTGCTTTTATCTGAATACATTTTATGTGGCAATAAGCCTTTGATTTAATTGCGGGTAGCAATTAAATTAAAGGAGAGTAGGACACGTCCTATAAATGGCAAAATTTTTGTTGGGTTACAGACTGAGCTTTTGTTCAGTGTGTTTTTGTTCTGTGTGTTTTTATTTTGCGTTCCAAGGTCTGTTCCACAGAGCCATCATCCAAAGTGGCTCAGCGCTGTCAAGCTGGGCTGTCAACTACCAGCCAGTCAAGTACACTCGCATGCTTGCTGAGAGAGTTGGCTGCAATGTGTTGGACACAGTGGACATGGTATCTTGCCTACAGAAGAAGACTGCGAAGGAGCTGGTAGAGCAAGACATCCAGGCTGCCCGCTACCGTGTGGCTTTTGGCCCTGTCATCGATGGAGACGTCATCCCAGATGACCCTGAGATCTTGATGGAGCAGGGAGAGTTCCTTAACTATGATATAATGCTGGGTGTAAATCAGGGTGAAGGACTCCGCTTTGTCGAGAACGTGATGGACCTGGAGGATGGTGTGTCTGGCAGTGACTTTGACTTTGCTGTGTCAGACTTTGTGGACAGTTTGTATGGGTACCCAGAGGGGAAGGACACCCTGAGAGAGACGATTAAATTCATGTACACAGACTGGGCTGATAAAGATAACCCAGAGACCAGGAGGAAGACTCTGGTTGCTCTCTTCACTGACCATCAATGGGTGGAGCCATCAGTGGTGACAGCTGACCTGCACGCACGCTATGGCTCACCTACATACTTCTACGCCTTCTATCACCACTGCCAGAGCCTTATGAAGCCAGTGTGGTCAGACTCAGCACATGGAGATGAGGTGCCTTACGTATTTGGCATACCCATGGTGGGCCCGACAGACCTGTTCCCCTGCAATTTCTCTAGGAATGACATCATGCTCAGTGCCGTGGTCATGACATACTGGACTAACTTTGCAAAGAGTGGGTGAGTAATACCAAGCCCAGCAACAAAGGAAAGAACGTGATTTGTTCTCTCATTGTGTCAGTCCAGATGATTACTATTCAATATCTTATTTCACATTCTTGTCTCGTCTTCGAAATGGCTGCTGTGTTGGATTCAGCTTTAAGTAGGGCCTCCTAATTAAGTGCAGCCTGAACTTCTCGCTTTAATGTCTGTTCGCCTCATCTCAGTTTTTCCTTTGTTCGTTCATAGGAATCCCCACTTGAAACATGGTACTTCAGTTTTTATTTATCCTTTTTTTCCTTAAATGAAATATAAAACCAGCACAATGTGCAGTGGGTTTTGTTTGTAATTGATTTGATTTGACTTGGCATAACAAAAAAAAAAACGTATTTTTACAAGCATACTTGTGGGCTCACTTATTTATCATACCCAATGCCTTATTATCAGTCACGGAACTGAGTATACTCTGTGTACCCAGCTAAAGCTGTGTCCTTTTAAATGTCAAGCTACAGCAGATTTAGGCTTCTGTAAAATCTTTTCTAGTGCACATAAAAGGGTTTCATCACTTTGGGCAATTTTCCTAAAGGTGATGGATCTTACAATTTACAGCTCAGTCCTCATAAATGTTTAAAACAGTTCCTCTGTGTTTAACAAAATTGTTATGTGGATGCAAAAAGAAACACACCAAATAGAACTGAAAAGGCAGTTAATAAACCTAAATCAACTTTATTGAGAGTTGGGCTTTGGAGTCAGAGGAAGATTAAGTGTCAGCACAAAAAGAACCAGTAACAAATTAAAAAAAAGAGAAAACATAAACATTGATGGTCATTTTTTTCTTCTTTCTGGTACTGATTCTGCAGTTTTCCAGATGTATTTTGGAGGGAACACATATTTCCAAATTTTACATTCTCGCCCTTTGAAGATGATAAAGACCACCAACTTAATATTTCAGCCAAAGCTCCCACATGGGTGCTCAGCTGAGGTTAGAGCTGACATGTCAAATAGCTTTGTAGGTTAGGGATGATGTAGGGAACGAGCTGCTCTCAGCAAAATAGAAAAGAGAAACATTATTTGGTTGACAATTTGGCCGTTTTCACCGCATTTAGCCCACTCGAGTAATAAAGCAGCACGTCAGGTCAAATCAAATATGGTTTATACAAACTATGCATAAGTAAGATCAAACTAATATATAACCTTGTTTGGAAAAAACTTCAATAAGTCATTGACTGTTGTCGTTAGTAACCCCCTGATCCATATGCGGTATGGATTGGGGGGGATCATCCTGGGAAACGACACTCAATCAAAATATAAATGTTTTATCTTTTTAAAGGAAAGCTGATCACTCCTGACAAATTTGTATTGATTTGCAGTGACCCCATCCCTTAAGTGGAAAAAGGCCCCAAACCAATAAGATTAGTGCTGAACATGTAACAGATTGAGGCTCTGCAGCATTCTCTCAGAGACACCGATTTGCTGGTTCTTTAAAAGGCTAAGAGATATCTAACTGAGTTTCAGTTTTTATTGGAGGATTCTGACTCTGGTTTACAGTCAGAGTCTCCTTGCACGTGGAAGGACTTCACCGGTTTGAGAAAGCACAGCATAGGTTATTGTAGGCTGCTGTCGTAAGCAGTAGAGATGAGTAGAGATGAAGAAACTACATTTTGCTGACCCATTTTTCTCTTCAGCTTCTTATGTTTGTATCCTTTCATGTCAGTGTCATTTCATTGAAAAGTCTCCTGTTTGAAATCAGGACCATTTTCAAGAAATTGTATTGTTTGGTGAAAAATTTAATCAAAAATATTCACTAATAACTCCTGAAAGTTCAGGACATTCCAGTGTTTTACATGACATAATAATCAGTTTGGTTTGTTATTCATATTACATTTCAGAAACATTCATCTGGAGAGTTAAAATAACCACATCGATGTATTTCCTATCATGCCAATATGATTCTATGATTCTGCTCAAAGTTGAGAAGTCTTGAATTGAATTTATCTGTGAAGACATTGTTGAACTATTTGCTTTACATGTTTTTCTTCTGATTGAAGTCTTCTCTGATGTGTTCACAGTGATCCTAACAAACCAGTACCACAGGACACCAAGTTCATCCACACTAAGGCCAATCGCTTTGAGGAGGTAGCTTGGTCTAAGTACGACCCCTATGACCAACTCTACTTACACATTGGTCTGAAGCCTCGCATCCGTGACCACTACCGTGCCACAAAAGTGGCCTTTTGGAAACACCTGGTGCCCCATCTCTACAACCTCCATGATATGTTCCATTATTCCTCCACCACAACCAAAGTCACCCCTCTGGATCCCACCCTGTCCAGTGGTAAGAGGTCAGGCAGCACCGGACGACCTCCTTTGTCCACTGCCCACAGCGATGGTGAAGGCGGAAGAGAGATGGGTCCTCTGATCATGCCCAACCCGAGAGATTACTCCACAGAGCTCAGCGTCACCATAGCTGTTGGGGCATCGCTGCTATTCCTCAACGTTCTGGCCTTTGCTGCTCTGTACTACCGTAAGGACAAGCGAAGTCGCCAAGAAACCTCCCAGCAGCCCAGTCCCCAGCGTGAAAGCAAAGGCAACAATGCAGGCCACACCAACACAGTAGATGAGACCCTGTCATCTCAGCAAAGGAGCCCCTGTGAGGCCCTTCACAACCCTCTCCACGTATCGCCCAGCTACTCTCTCAGCCAGCGCCGCTCCCCTGATGACATCCCTCTGATGACCCCAAACAACATAACCATGATCCCCAACTCCCTAATGGGCCTTTCCAACATGAGTCCCTATAGCACCTTTCCTGCTGGCTACAGCTCTGCAGGTCTGCCTAGCACGCACTCCACCACTCGGGTATAGCTTGGCAGAAGGTGGAGATGACAAATGTGACATACATGAAACATGAAATGTAAAGCTGTACTTAGGATGTGTAAGTAAAATAGGATTGAGTATGTTTGTTCTGTCTTTTCCAAAGGTGTCAAACCACCAACATCCTGCCTTTGCGCTCTCATAATAAGAAGTTTAACTGCAAAGTCATTTTATAGTAATCATTTTCAAAGGCAGTCTAAAAGAAAAAATTGCATTTCATTTTCCACTTTAGCTTTTTTGGGACTTTACCTTGCAAGAACTTAGTATAATGTTTATACAGTTGGATTTGTATGGGAAGCTTTTTCTTACTCTGTAATATCTATTTTGCTCTCGTGGAAAAAAGTGACAATACAACTCATGGTGGACAGAGATTAGATCTGGGCAAAGCAGAAAAGCAGTATTATTGTTACAATTATCAAGCTATTTTATACATATTTCTCATACAACATTGCTTATTATGAAGACGTATTTTTACTGTTATTACTTTAAACTGCCTTGTACATTGCTAACACAAAGAATTACTGTGAAATCACAACAGTAACAGAGGAAAACTTTACTCAAATACTGGTCATACATGGTAAAAATGTCCGACTTATCCAAAATGTTTCTATCAAGTAGCGCGCTTGTGTGTGTGGGTGTGTGCGGGTGTGGAAGCGTGTGGGCCTGCTGAAAACCGATTCAAAATGTAAATTAGGCATTGTTTAAAATTAACTATTCAGTTTCACATATGTAGTGTTGTGTAATTTATTGTAGTCTACTTGAGTATCTTTGCTCTATTTCGGCTTTATGTGCTTATGATTTCTTTGCTAAATACATTGTAGAAATATAAATTCTACTTCACTATAAACAAAAAAAAGCTTAAAATGTGTTTTCCTGATCTAACGAACTCATTTTTACTTTTTGGCTTGGCTTGTTTGTACAGACTAAACATAGACTGATATTTAATTTGTTGTTCGTTTATGGACACTGTAAGGTCTTCAGAGATGACTGTAATTACATTGTAATTGTATGTATTCAAATTCAGTTACTCACATTTAAAGGTAGTTTTATGAACCTTACAGGACATTGTTCCTTCCTCAAGTTGTTTGGACCCTGTTCAAGTTATATCCAAGGGTCATCCTTTCTCGAATGGACGTGACGGACATCAAGCTTTGAGATTTGATTCCTTTGAACTTATCATAGCATTGTTTAATCTAAATGAGATGGCTATTAAAAGATTTTTGGAACTAAAGATGAGTCTTGTCAGACATTGAGCTTTGGTTTTAGAGTATGTAGTTATTGCAAAATTCAAAAGGGATGAAGAAGATGAGAAGAATCTCATCAAACGTTTGGAGCTGATCAGAACAAGCTGTGGGACATGGAGGCATTGAGTTAAAAAGATGTGAGTGCACCTAATTTCTGTTTTCCAGTTGCTTCTTATCTTTGCTTTAACCAAGAAAATTAGTATGGGATTACCTATCAATAATAAATATATGTGTTCCTTAGTAGACAATATTCAAAATTTCAACTTATTCCCACTACCAGTCTGTTTCATTCTGACATTTTTTCCTGAACTCACTGATATGGTTTGTTCCTCAAAAGCTTTATGTTTGGTCACGGAGGGTTTTGTGAGTTATTAATGTACACGTTGTGGGATGTGTTGTCATGGCAAAGTGAACAATGTCAGAGAGGCTTTCCATGGTACATTTTAATTCACTTTGTACCTTTTGTTAGAGTCCAGCCTTGGTGTTTTGCCTCATCTACATCTTTAAATGCCTAGCATTACCAAGGTTTTACTCAAACATGAATTTTTTGCTCGGGGATCAAACGTCTTTCCCCTCTTTGGCCTTTTCTGTTGATAATCTAACATTATGGGACAACATTTTCCTATCACCATCTCCCAATATATAATACGGTACTGACATCTGCACAGCAGCTCAAAGTATTTATAAAGGTGTACCCCACGTGACATGGTCAAACAAGAGGTTCTTGACCAAGCAAATGTGTGGGACGAGATTGGAATAAGAATGTGTTGATTTTCAGCCCATCTGTTTCCCACATCGGAAAACCTGGCGGTTATGGAAAAAACGCACCCTTAACTAAATCTGTTTTTTTAGTGTTTCATCTTTATACACTTCCTTGTTTTGCTGGTTATACTGGCTTCTTTTTTAGTGTATGATGTGAATTAAGTGCAACAAAGCATTGCTTAAAAGTGGCAAAAAAATATATCTCTGTAGAGATATCAAAGTCTCACTGTCAGGGTACAATAGACATGACGTAATTAGTCAGGTGGATTTTTCTCTGAAAAGGTTCAAATTGTGTGACGTGTTGCAGTTCCCAAGGCTTCAAACACTGTCACAAAGAATCCGAGACTATCAGAAAAGAAAATCAAGCACACAACTAAATAAACACCTAGTTGGAAAGCAGCTCAGTCCGACCTTACTTCATTATTCAGTAAAACAAATACATTCAACCCTCAGCAAAGAAGGTCATTTCCACTGAGCTCACAAGTGCTTGTTTGTTTGCCTGATGGCTGTTTGTCTGTGTAGTCACAAGATAACATAAGACGCGTTAAGATAACTGCGAAAAAAGAGGGTGCAAATATTTTTAGAGGGGCTTTTCCTCCCCTCTATAAACACATGCATATTTCAATATTCAGTGCGTAAATATCGGTAAGTCTATCTGTCACCAAGGCCGAAGTGATGGACTGGCAACTTGTCAACATGCGACCCTGAAGAGGATGAAGTGGGAATGGAAAATAGATGGATGCATCTGTCACACAGGAAGCTGCTACAAAAACAACTCACAGATAGATCACAGCACAACTTCTCATGTGCATCCATCATACAGTCACATACTGTACCATGAATTAATATGCTGCCCTCACATTCTTGCCTGGCTGGGGGAGCTGTGTCTGTGTCCCTATGAAAATATATAGTGATAAATTAAGCTTTGTGGAATTTGCAACTTATATTAAAGTGTAGATTGTAGATTGTTTAAAAAACTGTATATTCATTCACCAGTGACCTCCATCTACATCAGGATGAATGATGTACTGCCTCTTCACTAATTCTCTTCCTCATGTCGCCCAATGGAGAAAATCTCTGTAATTTCTCTTCCTACCTAATTCCTTTGACTATCAACATTATTACTTATTTAGAATTTACTGACAGCCATCCCACTCGCTCATATGCACACAGAGGTTAATTAATGCTTCTGGTCTGTCTCTGTTTCTCTTTTGCTTTGTATTCTCAGATATTTCAAAGGCATCATTCCTCTACACTTCACTTTCAGTGTCTTTCATTAATCTTTTCTACATCCTAATTACTTGATCTCTAATTGGTCCTGGCTTCTGAGAGATGAAAGGCTACAGAATGGATACCAGAAGCCAGCAGGCTATTTTTTTAACACCCCATCAAAAGAGGAGATAATTTATGTTCAGCAACTGATCAAACACTGAGATTTTGGAAGGGACCTGATGAATTGATCAAATAGTACTGCGTCTGTCGCAGGCTGGGCAAATTATGGTAGTTGACTTGCATAAAAAATGGTTTTCGATTGAAACAGGACCCTTAAACATATCCTTAAGACACTATTATTATTTTCATCTAAACACAATATCCACTTGTTCTTTGTGTGTTTAAAATGTTAAGTAAAAAGAGGATAGGGGCTTTCTCCCTAAGAAAAAATAGTCTGGTTTTTTCTTTATCCTGCTCCACACTGGCTTCTTTGTCGTGAACCCAGCTTTGACATCAACTGGGTCAAACATGAGGGAGGGAGGGAAGGAGAGCAGCAGCTGGACCCAACCATCAATGTCACCGTTGTTAGACAACTTCATCAATGTCAGTCACTGGTATTTGTATTTATTTCGCTCTTTTGTCTGTGCACACCTCCATGTTGCTTTAGAGAGCATCTGGTCAGGCTGTGTGCTGCTGACATCTAGCATGTGGAGCCGGCAGACAACACAAGTCTGCTGACAACGAATTCATCACCTGTTAAAACGTAACTCAAAGCACCGTGCTGTCAACAAAAATTCAACAAGTTTGTGGTTAAATGTGAAAACCAAACCATTGTTGAGTCATTTTTAAGTGATTGTCACATCTCATCGAGAAGAGCTCCATGCCACAAAAATATTCCTTCTTTTGGCCAAAATATTCACAGACCTCTTTCAACTGTGTGAATGATACCTTCAGTGAAGGGTGCGTGCAAATACGGCCATTCTATCAGATTACACCAATAATTTTGTGTAATCATACGAAGAAAGGATACACGTGAGAAAATCTAAAATGTTGTACACAGCATTAAAAATAAAGGAGGAAAATTCTGGATCTGGATTTTGGCTCTCTCCTTGTCCCCAATCCAGAACCCAGAGGCTACATAAATAATGGCTGGCCGCTGAAATGGGACTTTGTGACTTTAAGATGTGACTCGGGGAGATGTGGTCTATCTATTGTTGATGAGACAAAAGCGCGAGTCAGATTCATATAGGGGTGGCGGGGAATAACTTCTCATATCCTCATATCACAGTCACAAAGCCACCCAGCTAAACTTCAATATCCCCACACCTATTTCTGGACATGGGTGAGTGTACAGAATATTTAATAACTGTTATCAATTCTTATTCGTGTGATTTAAAAAACTGTGGATTTTATTAACTTACTAATGCCTTGACATAAATCCTTTCTACATTTAGGCATGATGATATCCTGATTCATTGTTGGCAGAGTTTGGCGTAAATTAACACTGTGTTTTGATTTTTCGGAGGCATTTTAAAATCCAGATGGTCTATTGATTTATACCTGCTGCACTTTGCTCTTAACATAAATTAATATTAAATTAGAATTTGAAGATGTTTTCAGAGAGCATCCTATGGGCCTTTCTCTGGTATGGAAATAAGTCCTTGTTGCTGTCCATAACCACTTTTGACAATAATCCAAACTGGAACCAGTGTCTGATGGCAATGGGGAGCAACTCTTGTCATGTCAAGGCCATGCCAGGTCACTCATGTGAAAGAGGTCAGATACTCCCATGCGTCACGGGCAGAATAAGTTCATTTCCATGTGAACTGCTGACCCAAACAAGCACTGCTTTCTTCCTTTTTCCTGACTAAAAAACACTTTGGGTGCTTACTGTTACATATTTTTTAAGGACTTTGCAGTCATTGCCCATTGTCTTGTAGCTACTGAAACTGCATTGATACCATTTTGCACCAAGTTCAAACTGAGGCTATCATGGCATCTGTCAGTCTATCACAATAACCACCACTGCTGCAGGGTACAGCTGAAGTGTGGGTGCCTGCCAGCGTCATCCTTTTTGGGACAAACTTCTAATCATCCTCGCTAGCATAATTTTTTTCAACTCACTGCTTTTATTCCCCCAAGACTGAAATAGGACAGATGCTGGTTGACATTAAGGGAAAACTAGCCTGTTTCATAAAATCAAACTTTGAGCATGGTTGTTGTTGTTGTCATGAACTTTTTCCAGTTGCACCTCCCCCATTCATTATATTTCTCCACCCGCTGTTTAAACACTTGACCCCTGCCCCTGACAGCATTGACACCCAGAGCCATGGTACCAGTCTCGGCCAGCTGTGGGGAAGGAGGATGGTCTGAGTAGTGACATTGCCAGTGGTGTGGGGATGGTCCCGGTGACCCACTCGTCCACCACATACTGCACTGTTTTTGTGTAGAATGTGTGTGTGTCAGTTGTGATGGTCTTTGTTTATTTGACATCACTGCCCTTTGTTCCTCTCTGACCACAGCAAACACAATTGATATTGTATCTGCAGCCACAAAGAGAAGCTCTTTCTTCACAGCTCCTGAAGCCAGTTTTTCACCACTGTCCCTAAGTGGCCTGGTGACGCCTGTGACCACTGGAGAAAGAGGGCTGGACTAGATTTAGAAAGAGTAAGGTGTTGGCACAAGCAGAGGAGCTTTCACATGCAGATGAAATCAGCGCAGAGAGACTCATTGTACAGTAGAAATACCTTGTAGGCAGCACTGTACATCACTGCTTGGCACTGGGATCTTTCTTGTTGTGGAGTACAGCATCAGAGGCAGTAAATGTTTCCGGTCAGGCAGCCTTGGCTTTGCAAAGCCTTAGGTGCTTTCCTCTATCCCATTTCTGGCAATGCATTTATTAACACTTTGGATATTTGCTACCTGCTTCAACTCTGCCACTCACCTTGGACAAAGTGCATGAGATTATTGTGAAACCAGCGGCTTCTGCGTTTGAGTGGACGCTTTATTGGGAATCGCTGCTTGAACTCTTGTTTTTCACTGCTAATTTTTTTTTTCTGTTGCTTTCTTGCCTGTCGGTGGGTTTTTGGTGAATGCTCATGGATTTGCAGACAGAACAAGGCCTTTTTCATAGCTCCCCCACAGGGTGAAAGAGTCTCCCGCCGTGGCATAGATGTGCTGTGTGCTTATATGTGCGGTGTGTGCCGCCTGTGTGCTGATATATTATGCCCCCTCAGGTTGTTATGATTGCTGTGTCCGATGCATTGGGGCAGTGCCCTACCCATCCCTGGTGGCCACCTTGCTGTGCTATGCTGGCATGGCATTATTTTGTGGCTGTGGGCACGAGGCGCTATCCCAGACCGAAGTCCTCGTTGAAACTTACTTTGCCCGCAACATTCAGGACTATGCAGTCATGGCCTCTTTGTGAGTGTTGATGTTTTTCATTCTTCTTTTTCATTGCGTCATTTCTCTGTCTGACTGTTTTTTTCTGACTTCACTGTGACTATTCCAGTATCAGATACTTCCAGTATGTGATCTATGGGCTGGCATCATTCTTCTTCCTGTTTGGTATCCTGCTTTTGGCCGAGGGTTTCTACACTACAAGTGCAGTCAAGCAGACCTTTGGCGAGTTCAGGAGCACCCAGTGTGGCCGCTGCCTTAGCCTTACGGTGAGAACATGTTTGAGAAAGTAGGGGAGGGGGGAGATAAAGAGGGAGGGGTAATATGATGTCAGTTCATTGTTGAGATGTTGAATACTGGTTTTTGTTTCACCACAGAGCTCCATCGAATCTTCCGTGTTTCTATAATTTCAAACCAGACTCTTGAATTGTAGTTTCAAGCAGGTTTAATGAGACCTCATTTATCACACTGGCACCTTAAAGCTTAAGCTACAGTTCTGTTACCTTTCTCTTTTAACAGTTCATCATAGTGACGTACATCTTGGCCTTCATCTGGCTGGCAGTGTTTGCTTTCACTGCTATCCCAGTCTTTTTCCTGTTCAACATGGAGCAGACCTGCCACACCATCAATATTCTGGCTGAAACCACCCCCAGCATTAATCAGCACGGCTGGATTTGCATGGACGCCAGGCAGTATGGTGAGAAGTTATTATAATGACTGACCACATGTCCCCCTGATGAGAAAGTTAATATGTCCTTGAGAGCAATGAATCCATCAATGAGAACCGACTGCAAGACTGATGGATGAATTACCTCTGAAGTCACAGAGATATCTTCAACTTCATATTCATTTCTCCACCCTGATATTCTACACAAAAGGAAGAACTTACATGTATCATAACAAGTCATGAATCTTCGAGACATACCCAATACTAATAATTTCTTCATGGCAGGTCTTCTCCCTTGGAATGCCATGCCAGGAAAAGCCTGTGGAATGACCTTAGCATCCATTTGCAAAGCCAGTGAAGTGAGTTGATGAATTTGAGACTTCTTTTAATGCACTGTGTATAACATCACGGTAAAATCAGGCATTTAAAAATATAGGTTATCAGTATTTGTAATGCACAAGTGTGTATGTCCGCATCTTTACACAGTGCAAAGATGCCACAAGAAATTGACAGACAAGAAAAAAACATTTATTTATTTAAGATTTATCAAATTAAGCTGTGCTTGTTATGTCATGCAGTTCTACGTCACCTACGATTTGTACATAGCTGCATTTGCTGGGGCAGGAATCACTCTCTTGGCACTGGTAAGGAATAGCTTTGGCTTTTTGCATCCTTCATTGTCATTTAACCTTTTGCCAAGATAGATTAACTCATTCACAGATAAGTGTCCATTAAGCAAAAATAGAAGAAAAATAGCAATTATGAAGTGGATTTTAACCTTTGCTGGCCTTTTGGTTTTATCTAGTCAGTCTATATAATTGCAGAATTGAAGTTTAGATTGTGCTTACCATGGCAATTTTTGGCACAAAGAGTGTCCATTTTGCCCTATGATCAACCGGCATGTTAGTGAACATGTTTTTACTGGAGCTATTGCCGTCCAAGCACAGTATGTGATTTATTCAGAGCAAAAGAAGGGTGTGAATGTTTCAGTGTTATGAAATATTTTTTATTTAATGAGAAAAATCTGATAAATTCCTTTTCAACACGTAGACCATTGTTGAGTAAAACTATGTGGAATAGATGCATTTTTTTCCTTCATCATGGAGCAAAACACTTTTTTCCTCAAGTTGTGTATACTGTTGGTAGATACCTCAAATTTCCTCTTTGTTAACTCCTCCTCTATTCATTTGTACCATTGCAGTTTCTTTATCTCGTTGCCACCACCTACAACTATGCAGTCTTGCGGTTCCTTGGCAGAAAAGGAATTCGCTAATTGCAGCACATCTGTCCCGTTCTCTTCCACCGTCTGGCTATGAGATGGACAGCCAACATGCAACAATTAGTATGAATTCTTCCCGCATGAAACGGCGACTTTTCAACCTGGATCAACCGCTTTTCTATTATGTGTCAAGTAACAGACAATTGTTCATCATCACTGTTATGTATTAACAGCAGACAGAGCAATGACGATAATTCACATCTGATAATGAGCTTTGGCCTGTTCCACAAGCCATTCTTTCAAATGATTCTCTTAGCTGTGTTGGTTGAGTTCATTTTGTGGATTGTATCTCTTACTTCATCCTTTTTGTGAGGCTTCACTGGTGCTCATTGTGATGTCTGACATTTTAGGAATAATTAAGTGCAATGATACTTTGTTTGCAAGTTATTGCTGTATAATATTCAGTTTACAGATACACACGTTGGTTCAGGATATGATTTTGCTACTGCCTCATTACTGCTATATTGCATATGAACAGTGTGGAATGTACCAGAGTTACCCTTCGAGCTTTTCATTAAATAAATTCATGGGTGTTCATTCACTATCCATTTTGCCTGGTTTAAATGTCACTGTGCAAGATGGTGTTTTGGTTATCACTTAAAATAGGTTACTGAAGGTTTCTAGCTTTAATAACTGGTCTCCAGCTCATTAGTCTCATGTGTGCTCATTTGTAATTAAGGCTTATTAAACCGTTTAATTCTGAGGCATTTAATTGTGATTTTTATTTGAACCGTGTACAGTATGCTGAATTAAATTCACTTAAGCTGATTATGAAGTATTCTATTGAAGCTTCTATGGTAATTGCAGCTGTAAAGTCTTTTAATTACACACTTCTTAAACATGACAGCACTATATGTCCTCTTTCCCAGAGGGAAAAAAAATCAGGATAGAATGTTAGAAATATAATGGTGATGTACTAATTCCAGATAGGTCATTATTTACAATAAGTTCTCTCACAAGATATTAGTCCCCGATAGGTGTCAAACAGTTTTTGCGAAGCAGCCATCGCAATGGATCACTTTGTCATGGAGGAAAATAGGGCTCATCAAATCTCCCAAGGCCTTAGCACAAACGCCACACTGAAAAAACACAGACAGCATAAAAATCATACAGTGACTCAGTGCTGTATATCAAATCCCTAAGAGACTACAGGTTTTCTAAGAAAGAGCACTCAACAAACCTTAAGGCACTCTGGATGGCATGTCACAGGAGGGTCACTGAGGGAGAGTTTGATATTGCCATCAATGATATGATTACAGAGGGAACAGAGTCCTTTGTCATCCCTGAGGTGGAAAGTTGAGAGCAGTTTTTGAAATGTGAATCATGTGAATATAAGAGAGATTATTACATATTAGAAACCTACCCAGGAGTTTCTGTTGAATTTAGCTCCTCTACAGGTTTCTGAATAACTTCAGAACTGTAAAAAAAAAAAAAAAAAATAAAATTAGCCTGCAAATAAGCTGAAGACATGGTTTAAAAAAACACTAAATCCCAGCTCACTCACGTGTTGTCATCATCACACTGTTGCAGCAGCTTCGGCTCCTCTGGGGGAGATTGTTCTGGATCTTCAACAGGTTCAGGGGCAGCTTCAGCTGTGGGTGGCTCCTCATCCAAAGCATCTGTCAGATCGATGGCTCTGGCAAGGAAATTGTCCTGAACGGCTTCAGCATCTGACGCCAGCGCACGTTCCACAGTGTCCTCAGTGTTCAGCTCCAGTGTGCGATCTGAATTTCCATCAAGAGATGGATTGTTGCTTTGTTCGACAGCAGCGTTATCTGGAGACTGGGATTCACACTCAACCATTTCCTCAGAAACCGGCTCAGCCGACACTGCAGACTTTGTGGAAGCAGCCACTATCTCCTCTGCCGGCTGTTGAGGAGGTAGTTTCTGTAAAAGCTCATCCTCAGGAATGCCTGCTTCTGCTTCTGCCTCTGCCTCTGCCTCTGCCTCTGCCTCTGCCTCTGCCTCTGC